CCCCCAGCCGACCTACGACAGCGGCAACTACAACAACAACCAGCCGCAGCAGAATTACAACCAGGGCGGCCCCGGCGGCGCTCCCTATGGCGGCCCCGGCGGCGGCGGCCCGGACGGGCCCAACGGCGAAAAGGGCCTCGGCGCTACGCTCGTAGGCGGCGGCGGCGCTGCGTTTGCTGCGCACAAGGCCGGCGCGGGCTTCCTCGGCTCGACCGGTGCGGCCATTGCTGGCGCAATCGGCGCCAACATTCTCGAGCACAAGTTCAAGAAGCGTCGGGATTGAGAGAGCGGCGGGCAGTGGTGGAGAATATGATGACGAACACTGAGGGGAGGAACGGGGTCGTTGTCTCTTGGGTCATCCTTTTTTTTTTTTGCGCGCTATTCTTCTTTTTTGTTTTAGGCATCTGGAATTCTTGGGAGCGAATCATTTCCATCCGTTATATCCGTATCTTTTTCAACGGTTAGGTCGGCAGCTTGGGTTACATTGCACAGTCGGGACCCCAAGTCGGGAGCCACAATTGAGGTTACATTCATCACCAATGCCCATGTCAATGCACATCCTCGAGTCATTTACAGTGATATGAAAGATCGCATTATCGTTTTCATCAAACATTAACTCGTAGATTCAATCTAAAAGATCCACATCAAACGCCGCCCCCCGCAACTCACAATGCACATAACGTCATATCAAACTGGTGTATCCTTTGACAACAATCGCCTACGCGGGCGACCCCTCATCGTGCTCGCCTTTGCGTTGGGCGAGCTTCTCGTCGATGTCGCTTTGGCGACGTCCCTGCGCGGCGGCCACAGCGTCCCACCCTGCCGCCTCCTGGGCGTCGTGGTCGTGCACCACGTCAAAGTTGCGGCGCAGGTGCTCGGGGCCGAGGAACGTGAGGAGTATGGTGTAGGCGTACACGCAGCCCATGAAGATGCAAATGACGAGACCGTAGTCGTAGCGCGACTTGGCCTTGGCAGTAGGCGGTAGCGGGAAGTTCTCGCCGAGGCGCGCCTCGATGGTCGACGAGGCCGACGAGACAAGGTTACCGAGCTGGTACGAGGTGCCGACGACGAATGTGCGGAACGCGCCCGGCGACAGCTCCATCAGGTGAATGGGAATGACACCCCAGGCGCCCTGTACGAAGAACTGCTCGAAAAAGGCGGCCGCCATGACGGACGAGGAGCGCACAAACGTGTACGGGTACAGCACCGCGCCACCGCAGATGCAGCAGACAATGATGCTCAGGCGGCGACCCACCGACTGACTGAGGAAGCCGACGACGGTGCCGCCCGTCATGGCGCCGAGGTTCGCCACGACCTGGGTAATGGTGACCTGATTGGCGGTAAACGAAAGCTGATTCTGGAGCATGGTTGGGTACAGATCCTGGCTACCGTGACTCATGAAGTTGAAGCCGGCCATGAGAAGGACGAGGTAGGTAAGAAGAAGCCAGTGCTTGCGGATAGCAATCTTGCCCTCCTTGAGGAAGACGGACCCGACCGAGGCGCTGCCGCCGGCGCCCAGATTCTGGGCTTCCTTGCGGAGAGCCTGGCGCTCGCGATAGACGGAGGTCTCGGGGAGCATCAGACGGAAGATGATGAAGAGCACAGGGGGGGCGGCTCCGAACCAGTAGAGTGGTCTCCAGCCGTGCGGGGTGGTGTTGACGAGACCGCGGGCTAGGGCAGCGCAGAGGAGGTAACCAAAGGCATACTAGATAATTTTCGGTCAGTAAATTGAGGGGGGCAAAATTTTATTCTTCGCGTCGGCATCTTTGACTTACACCTTGCTGCAGCATACCACTGATCAGACCGCGGGCCTCTTCAGGGCAGTCTTCCAGAGCGGTGGCGGCGGCATTTCCGTAGAGGCCGCCCATGGCCACGCCGAAAAGAGCGCGACAGGCCAGAAATTGAGGGTATGTCTGGCAAAAGCCGGTTCCCTAATTCGCAAACATGGTCAGCACAAGCAAACAGTGGCAGAGGGGGGGGGGCGTGGCGTCATCGTAGCCACCAGTCTGGTGCACAACGCCAAGAGATCTAGCCAAGCCATTTACGCCATTTTGTCGAGACGACCCGCTCCCGCGTAAGAGAGGAGCACTGGGAGCGCATCTCGAGTATAATGCATGACTGGCGTATAAAATGCTGACACGAGAGAAACAGGTCATTCCGGGGTCCGCTTACCAATTCGAGGACAATGAAGAGAATATTGTTGACGACAAAGGGCCACTTGCGGCCGTAGCGATCACTGGCGATACCAAAGGTGATGGAGCCAACGGATCGGAACATGAGGACGAGGGTGATGCCCCAGGTGATGTCAGTCTTGGTCTTGCCAAATTGCTCGGCCAAGTCGGTGACGGTGAGGGAGACGGTGAAGAAGTCGAAAGCATCCCAGGTCTGTGAGAGCGGTTAGCTGGAGGGTGGCATTCAGAGGGCGGCCGTCTTTGCTTACCCATGCGGCAAAGGCAATGAAGAAGAAGGCCCACTGCTGGGCATTGAGCATGCGAAGAAGACGAATGGGATTGGGCAGGTCCAGCATAGCAGGACGGAGGGTGGTGAGGCGCGTCTTGAGATAGGTGCCGGCGGACATGCCCTCATGGGGAGCGCTGGCACCGGGCTCCTGGCTGGACATGACGTCGTGGTGAGCCATGGCTGCGCTCCGATGGTGCAAACGGCAACAGAGGGGCAAGTTTTTGTAAAACGGTATAGCTGGTAGGGAGCAAGAAGAGAAGCTTGTGAGAGACGAAAGAAAAAACGAAGAATAGAAGAGGAGGATGCGACAAGACTGAGCGAGCGTGGGAGAGGGAGGGGAGAGAGATAAAGTACCCCCACGAGTTGGGGAAACAGGATACCAGCAGACCCGTCAATGAGGAGCCAGCTGGTCGCGAGGCTGTCCGACTCGCAACTTGTCCACCAGGTGGCAGCTGACGAGACAGGAACCTAGTCGACGAAACTCGCCTGGGTCGATCTAGAGCTGCGTTCGACTGGATACCGGGGCAAAACCCCAGCTCAGTCAAGTCGGTCTAACTTATAAGAGGCAACGGCACGGCATTAACGGCATCGTTTTCGCGTGGAGCAGGATTGGATGGCGGCCGCTAAGAAGTTAGCTAGTTTGAGCTGCGAAGGTTAGGTAGTTACCAAGGCCATGCCGTTGAAAATTTTTAAATGGTCCAACCGCATCAGCGCACCTAGGTACGTAAACCTTCTCTCCACGATTTCCCCCTCTCTTCTTGTCGCCCCCATTTGGGCATTGGTACTTGGCCAGCGGACTGCGTGCCTTGTGGTAAAATAATTACCAGTCTCGTGATTGGATAGTGTATCAGAGCCCGATTTCGGCACCACCAGAAATCATCAGGCCCGTAGCTAATGACTCGCCCAGCGTCTTCATACCGGCTGGCTGGGCCATTGATTAGTTAGATTCTTCTACACATAAATATAGGTGTCATTTCAGTACCTAAATACCCAGTCGTCGGGCTGTGCATTGTCAGAACCGCAGGTACTCGTTGACCCAATGCTATGGTGCCACGGAGACATCATCTCCGTTCTAGCGCCGAGTAACTGTCGCATTAGGCTTCGAGGCATTTAGCAACTTACATCAATCCATCACTCGCCGGTGGAGAATTTGCTTTTGTGGCTTACATGCCGGCGGTTGGTTTCTGGTTTAGCAACGCTGTAGCGAAGGGTGATGTTGACGTGGACCCCAAACGTAAATAAAGGGGCTTTGTGACAATGTTGGTCATTTATGTGACTGGTCATGATTCGGGAAGACTACCTGTTTGCTCGTTCCGCAAGTTGCCGTCGTGGTTGTATAAATGACTATTGACTTGTATCGCGAGGCTTCATCCCTAAAGTATCACCCCAAAATTAGTATAGGGTAGCGCCTGTATAACATGGCGACCCGCAAGCCATCGTGAACTCACTTAGCCACAACTCCTCAACGAACAAGAACCCGGGTGTGAAGAACATATCGTTTCCTCGTCTCACACATTTCAATCAGCACCAAGGCCTAAGAGCCAGAAAAACTGCGTCAAGTTATCACATCACCAACATCTCGTGCCGCACAAGCCAAGGTGTAATTGCAGCGTCAGTGTTGTAATATGCTTTCTAGATTGTGGCTTAAATGCCCTACTACATAAAAGCCATGTACAAGAGATACAGTCCCCCAGATACCGGAACGCCGCGCGCCTTGTGAAAAAAAGGAGCCAGTACAGAAAACACCAGAAACGGAACAGTCATTGCAAAAACAAGATCCAAGCAAGTCAGGAGGCCTTCCACGAAGACGCTGAGCAGTGGCCAACAATGCAGGTGCACAACCACCAATATACACCAGGCTTGCTATTCATAATGCTTATTGTTTTTCTTCCAACACATACTTTAGTTCTTGACACGGGTATACTCGCCGGCAACCAGGCAGTGGTCACGCTCGAAAGGTTCTGATACGATGTTAGTAATGGCAGGAATTCAACGGAGCGAAGGCTATCGACATACCGAGAGTGAGCTGGAACTTGGGCTTGATGGCCTCTGCGCGCATCTTCTGGACCTCAGCGGCGAAAACCTCAGCGGCGGGGGCAGTGGAATCGATACAGTTGGCCTTGATGGAGATAAGAACACCACCACCAACCTTGAGGAACCAGTTGGCATTCATGGCAACGATACGGGCCTGATCAGGCTGCGCAACATCGGCGAAGATGACGTCCACCATGGGGACGATCATGCGGTAACGAGCGGGCTGGCGGGCATCCTCGACAATGGGAACGACGTTGGGGCGCTTGGAGGCCATGGCAATGAGATCGCGGCCAGAACGGGAGGAGAACTCGACGGCATAGACGTAACCGGTAGGGCCAACGACATCGGCGACGTGGGAGACCGAGGTACCGGAAGCACCACCAATGTAGAGCACACGGGAGCCGGGCTTCATGTAGATGTCGTCGGCACCGCCAGCGATGGCAGCACACAGCTTACTGCGGAATGGGTTCCACATGCGGTACTCAACCTTGGTGGTTGTGGTGGTACCGTCGTCGTTCTGAACAGACTCGTCGACCGAGATGCGCTTCTCGCCATAGACAGACTCGCCGGGGGTCAGGTTGCGGGTAGCAATACCATCTTCCTTGCCGCCACGAACGACAAAGACACCGGGGTGACGATGGGGTTCCTACAGACGGAGTGCGTTAATAAAAATGCCTGGTCATACGCTGACTGACATACTGCGACAGCCTCACTCGACTATCCAGTGGCGCAGGGGAATAAAACTTACAACGATGACCTTGGAACCGCCCTTCATGCCACCAGCACCACCACGGGCACCGCCACGACCACCGCGACCGCCACGACCACCGGGGGGACCGCCGCGACCACCACCGCCGAAGCTTCCACGGGCACCACCGCGGCCACCACCTGTTTGCGACCCAGTTAGTTCATACACATTGGAGCATCAAGAAGAGGACATCACGACATACCTCGACCACCGCCGAAACCACCACGGCCACCAGGAGCACCGCCGCGACCACCACCGCCGAAGCCACCACCGCCGAAGCCTCCACGGCTACCACCACGAGGGGGACCGCCGCCGCGACCACCACCGCGAGGACCACCACGGCTAACAAAAGGAGCCATTGTGTAGAGTTTTTTGGGGGAGAGTAGATGCTGAGTGTTTGGCAAGGAATTGAAAGCTCAGATAACGAGGCAGAGCTGTTCTCAAACGTCTATTCACCAGGAAACAAGTCGAATTATGTTGCTGGTAGGCGTAGACCAAGTGTAGACTTGTCCTTGTTGATTGCCGTAGTCACAAGGGCCAACTTTTTTTTTTCAAAGGCGCGCTTGAGGAAGAAATTTTTGAAGCTTGGGACTGGCAGAAAGATCAAAGGCCCCGCCTATTACCAAACTTGGCTAGCCGCAGGAAGGCTTTCGACGGCTTCTGGAGATACTATCTTCCGATACGAAATCAACAATTCATCACGTGGGCAGTTTGTGTATTCTGATCAGGTGACTTTGCTGTCACAGAGCACGCAGTAATCATGGGTGCGGCGGCAGAATAGCACAGGAAAAAAACTGAAAGAAAAACAAAAAAATAGGCGTAAGACCGAATCCAGTAAATGATAGATTCTATGATTTGATTTTGTTGACCACAGCATTTGTGCTGGCTTTTTGAGCATCTGTCATTCTGCGTGTTGGGCCTGTTTGTTTTTTGCCGAAGGGCAGTGAAACCCTAAAGCGTTCCCAAACGAGTAAGCGAGCTTTGCAGCCCGCCCCCCCAGCACCCTTAGGGCAAAAGTTCAGAAATTGTCAACTTTGAGCCCAGTGAACCCACGGTAGTCGAACCAAGTCATCACCAACCCCAAAGTCGTCAAGATGGTGAGTGCTACGCGCCGTCGTCTCTGAGTCTTTTGCGAGAACATATCCAGCCGAATTGTATTATCTTCCATCGCCCACCTCCCACGTCGTTTAATCGTCGCATCGATCTCGAAATGGACCTACGACGCTGCAATGTTCAACCCCCACGCTAAAAGACCAGGGATCGAAGCAATTATCTCGAAGAAAGTGTTGGTGATGGGAGCTGACCGATTGGCTTTTTCTGCTTTTAGGTCCGTTACGCTGCGACCGAGATTCTACCCGCCAAGTCGGCCCGCGCCCGTGGTGCCTACCTCCGTGTCTCTTTCAAGAACACTCGCGAGACCGCCCAGGCCATCAACGGCTGGAAGCTCGAGCGTGCTCTCCAGTTCCTCGAGAACGTCAAGAGCCACGACGAGGCTGTCCCCATGCGCCGTTACGCCGGCGGTACCGGCCGCACTGCCCAAGGTACGACCGATTCACAATTCTTTTCGCTATACGATCTGGCGCGTGTTGGACCCACGAGCGGCTGAAAAGCGGCTGAGAAACTGCTGTCGTCTTTCGCAGTCGGAGAAACATGGCCAGATCGGGATGGGGATATTTCATGCGTATATGAAGAACGCGCAACTAACGAATCTACCAAACAGGCAAGGCTTTCGGTGTCACCCGCGCTCGCTGGCCCGTCAAGTCGGCTGAGCACCTGCTCACTCTCCTCAAGAATGCCGAGGCCAACGCCGACGCCAAAGGCCTCGACACCGGTGCCCTCGTTGTCAAGCACATCCAGGTCAACCAGGCCCCTAAGCAGCGCAGACGCACATACCGTGCCCACGGTCGTGTACGTAGAACCCATCTCTTCACCAAGAGACACCCGAGACCGCTGGAAACCACCCGCTGACCTTTGTCCCCTCTAGATCAACCCCTACATGTCGAACCCTTGCCACATCGAGCTTATCCTCACCGAGGCCGAGGAGGTTGTCCAGAAGTCCGACCAGGTTGCTGGCCGCGAGCACCTGAACGCCAGACAGCGCGGTGCCCGCCTCCGCAAGGCCCTTACCGCCGCCTAAACGGCGCGCTGTGTGGGCTGATGAAGGGAGAGGAGAGCGAAACGAAAAAGACAAAAAAGCTTAAAAATGAAGTTTTTAAAGCGAAAGAATCAATCACACATCTCTTTGCCTGTTCAACAGACTTTTCTCCCGCGTGAAAAATGGACGATTGCAACAAGCAACAAAGGTGTGCTGTACCTGTCTTGGTCTTCGACAGCGTTGAGTTTTTTTCCTTTCGCTCTGTGATTCCTACGGAAGGACTTGACGACAATTTCTTTTAGCAGCATTGGGAAAAAGCAAAAAGGGATTATAACGGATAGAGATGGACAGGCCTTGGAGTTGCTTTTCCTATGTACAGCTCGATCCGATCTCCTGGTCATTGGTGTAGGTGTGATTTTATGGCAATTTTCTGCCGGCTGGGCTTGTTGTTGTAGGGCGTCTGAGCATGGCTTTTACAGGGAAACGCATGCAACGATCTATTATCAAGGGTCTTCATTCGCAAGGGATAGTGTTCTTCCTGACGAAATTGAAATACCAAAACTTCCATCGAAATATCCCCAACATGGCCTGTGAATGTATGAGAAAACATGGCTCGCTGTTCTGCGTACGTGCATCTGAGAAGACGTGTTATGATTGCCGCCATCGGAATGCTACATGAACTTTTGTCCTCTCACTGTGGGGAGATACATACCTCACCGCGCATTAGATACCTATACTAATTAGTAAGTGGAAAAACCATGAGGCTGAGGCACAACTATTCTTCTGAGCCGTCCTTTGCCGCTGAGCAAAACCAAAATATCAATTCAAAACGCCTCGTGCTAAGAGTCAGTCATTACCGACCTGGTAATCCCAAGATCCAATCAGCCAGAACGATGTCCTTGTTCCAATCTTCCTGCAGCCATCCAGGAAGGCAGCTGCGAGCTCTGGGAGGGAAATTCTCCTTTGCCTTGGTATAATTCTGTTTTTTTTTTCTCTGTTCGTTCTTTCTGCAAGTATTTGCTGTTTTAGTTCGTCAGTCGCATAACTTCTTGAAACCAGTATGGCCTGCGTATGTAACTTCTGCTGCGGTAAAAGTGTGCTGTAAGAGAACCGACAATGTCTTTTAGTACTCTACTCGATTGGCTATATAACTGAAATGCTTGTTGAATGGCTTATTATTTTGGCTAAAGTTTTGCGCCAGAAAAAAAAAACAAAACAAAAGGCCCGTAAAATGGACAGGCATTTTTCAACATCTATGTGTGATGACAGGGACCTCTCCACCGTTTCCTGATGCTGTTGAACCACAGGCTGGCACATATGACTGCTATCCCGTCGCTGTACCTTACTCTGCATTCACACGACCGAGGGCCTGTCCCATTTTGATGGTCTGGCCCTTGTCAACCTTCCACTCCCAACCCTTCTTCTCCCCACCCTCGCCGGCCGTCGTGGGGGCCTCGAAGACGAGCACTACGGTGCTGCCGAGCTGGAAGCCGCCCATCTCCTCCCCGCGACGCAGAGCGTGGCCGTGCAGGACTGGACTAGCGGCCTCGTAGGTGGCCTCCGCGAAGCCCGAGTAAGGCTCACCACGGCGGGCAGCCTCGTCAGCGGCGACGTCGGCGGCAGTGTCGGTGGTGAGGCTGTTGGTACGCAGTTCGCGGTCAAAGTTCACCTTGATGGAGCCGACGTTGGTGGCACCAACGGGCACGTAGCCGAAGAAGCCCCACCGCCAGCGACCGAGCAGCACGACGCGCTCGTTGAGTGTGAAGAGGCCTGGAAGTGTGCGCTGCAGGTACGGCGACACGCTGTAGAGCTCGCCGGCAAAGTGACGCCGGCGCTCCACGACCCAATTGGTCGGCGAGTGAAAGCGGTGGTAATCGCCAGGCGCGAGGTAGATGACGGCATAGTACAGCGATGTGGTCTTGTCGTGCGGCAAAATGTCGTACCAAGCACGCTCGCCGAGCGCCAGGTCGGCTCGCACCTCTGAAATGGCCGCTTGTGAGGGCTGCGTGGACTGGTCTTTGACGGTGCCGCTGCGGTGCGCGGCCGTCTCGTCGTGGCTGGGCTCCTTGGCCCCGGACAGGAAGTCGGGGAGCGTGTACGAGATGCCGTTGACGCGGCCAAATTCCTCGTCCTTGCCGATGATGTCGTCGTTGCCATCACGGTCTCGTGGTCTGGGTGTGCTGGTGCCGCTGCGAACCGATGATGAGCTGGAGATGCTGGGGCTAGGCGTGTGCTTGCCGAGCAGAGCGTCCACCGTGTAGGTCATGCCCTTGACCTGCTCAATATTGCCGCCGTCGATTTGCCCAAACTGGAGAATCTTGCCGTCGGATGGGGAGAGCAGCACCTGCGGATCGGGGTCGAGAGGTCTCGCGCCGGGCTTTAGAGTACGATAGAAGAAGGCGGCAAGGTTGGGGTATACGTGCAGATCGGGTTCGGAGACTTCAGAGAGGCTATAGGGCTATTAACAGTTGCACTTGTAACGTCGTCATCTTGAATCTTACTTGACGCCAAAAACCCAAGAGTACAGCTTGAAGCCAGGCACGCGTAAATAGTATGGTATCGTCAATTCGTTGAATTTCCCCCAGAGACGTGAAATGGCCTTGAGAGGCAAGGTAGACATGACTTGAACTTGCCTGGGACTCTAGTGTTAGCAATCATAATTGTATCCATCTCAATTGGACGCAAGCTCACCATGGTCCGTCCGGTTGTATTCTTGGTCGAGGCTTTGGTCTGTCGCCGCCTTCCTGCTTCTCACGCTCCCGCGCCTGGACCTTGTAAAACTGGATCAAGCCCAGGAATCCCACGCCGAGGCCGACTGGGATGTGGTACCACGTAACCTTTGTCTTGCGTAGGGCATCGCCTAACCGCTGGGAGAACCGAGGGCGCCGGCCCGAGGGGCCAGATGAAAAGTCGCGAGTCGCATTCGGGGTTCGGGGTCGTAGCGACGCTGTCGAGGGCCGTCGTGAGCCCGCGCTGGCGAATTGCCGCCGCAGAGGGCTCAGAGCGTGGCCGCGCACGAGACGCGCGGTGCCGAAGCCAAGTGTAGCTGCCATTGCCACCAAACACAGCCAAAGCTTGGTGTTTGGTTTTTCTGTGGTCAAGGTGAGCATGGAAGCTCCGCAGTCATCGGTCGTGGGGGGAGAGGAAGTTTGCTAGTGGCGCTCAGGACGTCACCAGACTGTAAGCTGGCCGTGCACTAACACTGGACAAGTCAACCGTGGCTCTTGCGGCAGTGGCATGCGCTTGATCGCCTGAGGATGGGGTATAGGCGACGAAGCATGTACTTGAAGATAACTTGAAGAGATGCCTCAATGCAGCCATCCCTAAATTACCGCCATCTTAGACCCCCTGTAAATAACGCGACCACGGTTGCATAACTCATTGTTTTTATGCTTACATAAATGTGCGACCTTGTCTCGTTGTGCAACCGCTAAGCCTCAAGGGGCAGCCACGTATCCCTTACAATTCACTACTCCGTCTACGAATAGTGAATGTATTATGTATTATCAGGCTAATGTAAGGTATGCGGGTACCACCACAGCTAGCCCCCAGCCCGATTCCAAAGACACGGTGGAATCTTCAAGCTGTCCTAACGTCTCCAGCGAATGCACCTTTTTCTCTGTGCACACTGGTGACATTTGTTTCTCCTTGACCCGTCCCCGACCATCTTTCGTCACATCAATCGGCTATCTTCTCGATCCTCTGCGAGCACTGCTTGTGTAACATGCGCATTGTACACGTCACCAGCTAGACGTTGTTGGCCTCTCGCTTTCCCAGCATTGCTACCAAACTCGCAAACTTGCTTTCGTCTTTCGCGCTCTTCACAAGCCGGCATGCCACGCGGCTTTTACAACCATGGCTCCGCAATCTGCCAGCGGTGATGCCGCTCTCGAGAACATGAACGTCAACCTGCAAATCGTCTCGCCATCTGTTGGGGTTAATCGCCCACTCCAGTTCCCGACCACACCCGCGTCGACAAACATCAAGACGCTGAAGAGAATGATCCGCGATTCCCTTGTCATGCGACCGACCGATGCCCATCAGCGCCTTATTTACCGTGGCAAGGCTCTTTTGCGTGATAATGAAACATTGCTCGAAATTCTGGGCGCCGAAGCCGTCCGGACCACCGACCAGCATACCATGCATCTGGTCCTTCGAGATATCGACCCACCTCCAGTGCCGACCACGACCGCCACCAACAACTCATCGACAGGCAACCAGCTGCCGCGGCCAGCATCGCGCTTCTTCACCCACCTTGGGCCTGGCGTTGGAGGAACCCCCGCGCCCGGCGGTGCCTCAGACGCTGCCCAACCGGGCCAGCCACAAGTGCAGCCAAGAATACCCTCCCCAGCGCCACTTGGCCAGCAGCTTCCCCCACCCGCCGCGGCCGCCTTTCAGCAGCAGCACCAGCAGCTCACCAGCTGGCTTAACCAAGTGCAGAGGGATGCAATGAGCCGAGCCGTCAACCAAAACCAGCGAGGTAGAGCCCAAGCAGGCATGCGAGGGATCACGGATGCGGCACGAGACCCGAGCAGTCGTAGAGGCAGCCCAGCACCTACGCATACGATATACCGCGAAACACATGGCCCGAATGGGCGAAGCTATCAGATGGAAACCGTTATCCGGAATCCAGTGTCAGCTGGAGGCCAGACTACAGCGTATAGCGTGGCAGATATTCAAAATATGGTACGCAATGCAGACACTGGCCAAGGCGCGTCAGCTACGGGCGTTTCCATGCAGCGTACAGCATCCGCGGCCTCTTTGCCGCCGAGATCTGCTCCTAACCTGCTCAATATGGCCTCGGCACCTCAACAAGCGTCGCAGCCTCGACAGGGCCTCGAACTCTACCTTTTGTCTTCTCCCGACGGGCCACGTGGTATACTTATTAATAACTCAACTATGGAAACCTTTTACACACCTCGAACTGGCACTCCAGCCTTAGGATTCACCGCTCGTTCGCAATTGACAGTCGGAGAATGGCTGTTAACGCCACCTGATGCTCCCGGCTATGAGGACCCGTTCGCGGACATTTCCGACGAACCGCGTGAACCTCCAAGGGAAAGTCGCCGGCGTCGCGCCTTTGATCGAGCTAATGCTCCCCAAAATCAAGCTCAAGTTCAGGCACCCATGCAGCCGCACCCACAGGCTATCCCGCTGGATAGGAGGATGAATCAGCCTGCGGCCCAGCCAGCTCTCCAACCATTGCATGGGGCCAACCCGATGGCTGGTTTTGGCCAACTTCTGTTGCGATTGGCTCCCCATTTCTGGAATATCGGAAGGCTTGGCTTCTTTGTTTGGCTTTTCGTCGGACCAAATTCGAGCTGGACTAGATGGTTCGTTGTCATTTCAGCGGCAGTTGTGACCTTTGTGGTTGGCACTGGGGCCTTCAATGGCATGGGCGAACATCTTTGGCGACCCATGATGCGCCATCTGGAAACCCTTTTTCCGACCCTGGACAGGCCTAATCATCAACAAGTCCCTCCTGCACAGCCCGGGGTGGAGCCAAACCCTGCCAATATGGCTGCGCGACTCGTCGCGGATCAAAACAGGAGACAACCATGGCTTTCTGAACAAATACGCCGGGTGGAAAGAGCAGGATTACTGTTCCTGGCCAGCATTGCTCCCGGGGTAGCAGAACGCCATATAGCCAACCTAGAGGAAGTGGCACGAGCTCGACAAGAGGAATCACGCAGGCGAGAAGCAGAAGAAGCAGCGGCTGCCTTGGCTCGTGACGCAGAAAGACAGGCGAATGAAAATGTAGAAAACAGTCAAGATGATGACACGACAAGGTCTTCGCAACAGGAAGGCTCCGAGGCTGCCTCACAACACAATCGTGAGCCCGTCGCAGAAGGAAACCCTCTTGTTACCTTGTAAATTTATTAAGAACGGCGGCTGCATGATGCACATATGATTTTGTTTGGATTCATCAAGAGCGGGCGTATTACAATAGCGAAAGAAACTGTATTGGAGGAGTCAATGGATCTCCGTCACATTCTTACTACCGTGGCTGTAGTCAGCTCGATATTACTAGAAGAGACTATGTAGTTAGACGTATGCGCTGCGAAGCGTCAAAAATAGAGGCGATATCCTGTTCCAAGAATTTACCGAACTAGGTAGCAATCAAGACATACATAGGTACTATACCTAACGTACAGTTGGCGGCGCGACAAGTTGTATTCCAATGACAGTGCTTATCTTATCAGCGGGTTTGGTGGGGGCGACTTGTGCAACATCAAGGCGTTCCACACCTGCAGGCAGCTCTTGCATTCGACAACAGCTAGGCCTGCTTATAGCTGACAAGCAACAATTTCGACAAGAACGGTGTAACTACCCCCTTTGCTTCACAATTGCACTTGAATGCTTGGTTCCTAAATACGAAAACTGCGGCAATGAGTGGGGGCTGGAACACAAGTTAGTTCAAGGTCAAGCTACGGCTCCATTGCGCACCTTTATTAACCGTTGCTACTAGTTGAATCCGATGCGGTGCGGCGAGACTTCTTTCTACGAGACCAAGGGACAGAACTGACATGCGAATAGGGCGTGTTCACATCGCTGATAGAGAACCTGGGCGTCAAGGATATTCAGTTTGAAGAGCTCCTCACCCTGGACCCTTCGGAGCTGCTTGCGCTGCAGCCCGTCCACGGTGTCATCTTCCTCTTCAAATACCCAACCGACAAGCCCTATGCCACACCCGACGGTCCTATTGATGGTACGTTTGATCATGCCGCCTCAGACAAGATATTCTTCGCCGCGCAGACGATACAAAACGCGTGCGCGACGCAGGCGCTGCTCAGCGTGCTGTTGAACCAGACGGGCGACTCCTCCGACACTGCCGCCGCCGACACTGTCGACATTGGCGAGAAGCTGCGCGACTTTCGCGATTTTACCATGGTACTGCCCCCCGAGTTCCGCGGCGAGGCGCTGAGCAACTCGGACCTCATCCGCGAGGTGCACAACAGCTTCGCGCGCAGCGCGCCCTTTGTCGACGAGACGCAGCGCGACCCCAACGCCGAGACCGAGGATGCCTTTCACTTCGTCGCGTACACGCCCGTCGACGGCACGCTCTACGAGCTCGATGGCTTGCAGCCGGCACCCATTGCGCACGGCGCTTGCTCGCGCGACGATTTCCCGCGCAAGGTGGTAGACGTGCTGCAGCGTCGTGTCGCCCGCTACGAGACCTCGGAGATTCGCTTCAACCTGCTGGCCATGTGTCGCGACCTGCGTGTGCGCGCCCGCGCATTTGGCGATGCTGAGCTGCTGGAAACAGAGGAGCGCAAGCGCCGCGCGTGGCGCTTTGAAAACGCCCTTCGCCGCCACAACTTTGTCGGCTTCGCGGGCGAGGTGCTCAAGGGCGTGGCTGGCGATCGCCTTCGTGCGGGTGGCGACCAGGCTGTTGAGACGTGGGTGAGCGAGAGCTTGGAGAGGAGAGTGGCGACCGAGAAGGCGGCGAGAGCAAGAGCGGGCGATGGAGATGTCCATATGAGCTAGACAAGAGCATGGAGAGGACAACAAAGACGATGATGAGAGGAGGAAATGCGACTGCTGCTACGATCATGGCAATATACCCGTTTGATTGTCCTACCGCCACCGCGCACTGCCAGATAGGCTCTCCATGTGGATTCACACCTCCAGCTATATATGACGTGCCCTCATCACTATCCCTACACTAAAACGTATGCGCCGTATTAATCTCCGCCACTTACCATGCTCTCGAAATTCTGTCAAATTCTCAGTCATCTAGAGATCCCCATTTCGTCATACATGCTAGATACGTTATTCGACACTTTGGTCGCTCCTCGGCACCCCTCTCTCACCCGGGGTATATACAAATCTTTTCTTTCCTCTGGGGCGGCGAGCTGGCTTGCTCACCTACCGGCCCAAACGTCCTTGTTGCACATGGATCTCCCCTCCGCACAGCTGCATTTCTCAAGGCATGCGAGTCATTTGCTCTGGAGTTGGCCGCGACAGGATCGGCTGCTCAGTCACCGTAGCGGAACCACCCTTTGTGGAGGACCGGCCGGGCGAGTCGCCTGTAAAGGATACCACGCGCTCCTGCTGCGGCGAGCGAAACTCGGACCCGCCAGCGGGTGTGGTCACGTCGCGGGCCGTCTTCCTGCGGCGCTTCTGGACGGCGCGGACGAACCATGGAGGCTGCCCGCTGCCTTTCCAGCTCCAGTACTCCTTGAGCTCATATTCGCGAGGCTCTAAGCGGCCGCCCGAGATGTAAACCACGGCACCGATGAGCCCGTTGAGCGTGGTGTAGACGAAGATACCGCTTTTCCTTGTTAGCTGTACTCTGGGCTTTTCATTGTCAAAGAAACTTACGCAATGAGCCCGTAGGCGACGCTGTAGCTGAACGGGATGAATGTCATCACGACAAATGACGGAAGAACGTCACCAATGTAGCGCCAATTGATCTGCGTGATTTGTCGAATCATCATACAACCAACCTTTTGCCTGTTAGCGAGAGAGTAGGAGAAACAATATCAGGAACGTACCAGAACCAAAGTGCAGCCCGTGGCCCATGGCGGGATGGAGGCGAAGATCGGCGCAAAGAAGACGGCCACGAGGAAGCACAGACCTGTGACAATGGACGTCAACCCAGTACGCCCGCCCTCGGCAATTCCTGCACCACTCTCGATAAAGGCCGTGACGGGTGAACAGCCCAGGAGCGCGGCGATGGAGATGAAGGCAGCGTCAGTGCAGTAGGCAATGGTTGAGCGGGGAAAGTCGCCATCCTTGTCGACGACGCCGCAGAAGCGCACCATGGAGTACAGCGTGGCCGTGGCATCGATGATGTCCACGTACAGAAAGGTAAAGAGTGCCAGAGCAAAGTGCGAGCCGCTTGCCTGGATGTCCCACTCGAGCTGGTTTGTTATGCGGGTCAGCGGGTGCCACGCGACGACCTGCTTGAAAAACTCAAAGCGCGAGTTGCCTTCCACGGTGTCGGGAAAGTACGTGACGGCAGTGTTGCGACTGGAAATTGTTAGTTGGGGATGGGGCGTGCCTTGGAAATGAGAGAGAACGTACGGCCAAGAGATGACAGAGATCAAGGCAATACCGATGACTAGTGCATATTTGACCCGGTATGCCATCAGGAAAGCAGTGAATATACCACCGCAGAGAACAGCAAGCCAGAGCTTCGCCGGTTAGCTATTCGTGCCTTCTGAGCAGAGATTGCAGTTACTCACCTTGGGATTTGTCATGACGCCGGACGTGCACATGCCGCTGTCAGGATCGAGAAGCTCCGATGGACAACCTCCCAGAGTGAGCGGTGAGCCACCACCTCCACCTGTAATGGCGCCGATGCCAGAAGCATACGAGAGGCCGACCTCGGTCAGAAGAAACCCGATGCCCACGCCGGTCGCGGTCTTGAGCGTGGCGGGGATAATCTTGACGAGCCATTGCCGCATGCCTGTCAACGCGAGGAAGATGAAGATGAAGCCTTCGATGAAGATGGCCGTCAGGGCGGTGCGATACGGAATAGAGCCTGTGCCGTTGACACCTACGACCTGGAATGCAAAGTACGCATTGAGGCCCATGCCGGGGCTGATAGACAATTAGCAAAGGGTTGGCGAGCTGGAAGTCATGGATAAAGGGGGCAAGCGTACGCAATGGCGACCGGAAGATTCGTAAGCAATCCGAAGACGACAGATGCCATGCCGGCAATAGCAGCTGTGGCCGTTACTAGGTCGCGTCGCACCTCTGAACGTGTTAGTAGAGCCCACAACGTGGCAACTTTCGACCTACCTTCTTTACAGGCTGCAAACGCTGGGAGGGTATCGCATTGGTGTCTGTCAACTAGTGTGCATTCGCATGTGCCGCCAGTCTGGGAGAGCATGGAAGCCTTGTGTGCCTGTTAGTGCTGGCGCGGCAGCTGCGTCGACTGGACCACTCACATTGACCGCGATGATGTATGCCATGGTGGCAAAGGTGGTCAGCCCAGCACGAATCTCCCGGAAGACCGACGAGGTTACAATCTCCTTGGGCTGGGCTTGTTAAAGATGTAAATGATTTTGCAGCAAGGGCTCACTTACATGGCCGCTGCCACCGAGGTGGAAGAAGTGTCCGAAGCGCGATGCAGAGATCCATAAATCAGCCAGATCGCAGAAGTCGCGTAGGCCACAGAACCTGGAGCGTCTAGCAGAAGGCTCATGAGTTTCCACCACGAACTCGTCATGGATTGGTTGTGACATGACTGCGACTGGATGTGGGCAATGGTTGAAGTTGCTCAGATGCACCCTGCAGGGAAGTCTTGGCAGCGAAACTGATTGAAGAAAAGGTGACGATTTGTTTTCAGATTCAAAACACGAGAAATAGGTGTTTAAAAAGGGTGGGGGAAAGGAGATAAAAGATATGGAATGTTTTGCCGTGCTGAGTTTGAACAAACGGACGAGCCGCTGATTGAGGACGGGAGATAAGGAGGATCGATGCTACCAAGGCAACAAGGAGCTTTTCAGCCGGCAGAGGGAATATCACAGCTTATGAGATGACTTGAGAGAGCGGGGTCATGTGAGTCTGCCAGCTGGCAAAGAAAATGGAAAACGAACGGTCCGGCAGTGTTTTCAGAGAATGCGGCCGGGTTGAGGCCGAATGCAGAGAGAGAGGTAGGACTGAGGTAGGGCTGGCAGCAAAGACGAAAAAAAGTAAGAAAAAGAAAGCAAGGCTGCCGCAATTCAATAGCCTCGAGTCTAGATAGGTTTGTGTTTGAAACTCAGTTGCTCCGCAAAAGAAAGTCGTGCGGAAACCGCTCTTCTGTTCGTCTCTGCCGTTTATCCGCGACAAGGTGCTTTTGTGCGATGCACCGAGCCTTGGTCTTGAAGAGACGCGGGTTGGCGGGCTAGAGTAAGAAAATACCACCCAACAACTAACTACCAAGGTATACCATGACGTAGACAAAAAACCCTGTTGTTTGGGATGCTGGTCTGAGCGTGCATAAACACCACCTGGAATCGACGTCTCCCGATCCGAGGTGAGCTCCAAACGACCTGTTCATGCATGCGAATCTGGTATGCAGCCACCGAGATGAGAAACAAGCTCTTTGTTTCCGCCACACGCCGAGTCGATATGTCTTACAAGTCTGTGGTACTTGAAAGGAATTATTGGTGCGACCGGTGTGGCAGAGCGGGCAGCCGTCCAGTCAGGAACCAAGGGAAGCGAGCTGCATGTCTCCAAGTACGAGGCTCGCTTACTACGACCACCTATTGCTAAGAAATGGCCAGACGGGTTCCTGCATTGAAGAAGGGGGGATTGTCTTCTTCGGGCAGCTCCATCGATGATTACCTGGTACCTACCTAGGTATGCAATTTATCGCATGTGTGCCACGCCGGCATAATGTGTGAGACGTTCGCCAAAACAACTCGGTCCAGTCCCGCCACCCGATGTGCAACAAGGGCACGGTTGCCTATGTGTCCATAGCGACGGCCGCGAAGGAGTCGGACGAGAATCAATAATCGAAATTAAGAAATACGCAGGGTCGTGGGAGCAAACATGCGGCACAGCAGTGTACCAGCAAACCCTTTTAGAGACTTGAGAAAAATAAGCTACAGAAAACTAGTCCGATTTTTGAGTAACTCGTACTGAGCTCTCCTCACATTCTGGAGATGCGGATGAGTTCTCCATCTTTCTGTTTGCAAACGCGCCGCATCAGCCATATCGTGGTTGGACCAAGTAAGACGTAACTCAGCAGCACGCGGCTGCTTCCCGACCATGGAAACCAGAGCAGATTTCAGATCGACCAGAAAAGACCTGTCAGGTAACCCAAGCCAATAGACTTGAATTTGAGAGTAGAAATGCACCGAATATTGGACTTGAGCCGTTCGAGGCGACACAATCTACTCCTGCTTGTCCACCGTCGCCAACCTCGCCAGCTGCCCACACGATACACGGATTACATCATGCAAACCCCCAGCCTTTCATGACTCGCAACTCAGATTCAGCTCAGCCGAGTACACATTGCAGTGCCGCACTGCATTGCATCGGGGTGGCGGCCTTTGGCTGACAGCATCTGCTGTGAATGCAATCACCTGCCCTCCAGAAGCGAACTCGCCAGAGCTTCTTCCACACATGATTGATTCTGGTACATCTTCACTGCAGCATCATCCCTTGTCCTCCGCAGTCGAGTGGTGGCCATATGACCCCTCGGCTCGCCACCCTCCTCGTTGAAATTGATTCATCAACACCTGCTGCACCTATTTCTCAACTCACTCTCTTCTCCAAGACAATCCAATACAACACGAAAATTTTAGCCGGAACACTGCCTCGTTCGGAAACAGTCGCTTGCCGCTTTTGTGACACCCATGCCCCCGTCTCAACAACGGCAGCGCCGAGGCGAGATCTAGGCTATTCTTCTTGCCGAAACCCATCTCCGGCAGCAATATATCCTTATCAAGAACCTTCGTCAAATCCAGCCATCTGCAAGCATCCATAAAGATGTGGGATGTAGTATGGACCGACCCGAGCAAGGAGTTGGTTGGAGAGCATCGAGCTAAAAAGGACCAACTGAGGCATGACAAGGAGAAGAGTAGCATCCGTTCGGGAAGGGATTCTGCCACAACTTCTTCGTCAAATTCCTCGTCTGAGACGCCGTTCAGCTTCTTTCGACCTAGGAGTGCCAAAAACGCCGTCACATTAAAAGGAAAGGACATTGACCGTTCGCCATCCTTTTCTGGGTTGGCCACTCCAAGCCTCACCTCCACCCTTTCGCCCTTTTCGCAGACATTCGACTCTTCAAGTCGAAGAAGCTCAGGTATGGTGACCACGGCACCAACCTCGCCGACCAAGGACGGGCCCGACGCCCACTTCTCTAGCAGTGATCGTGATACGCTGCCATCCTTTGACGGTAAGTCCCCTTCAACAACAGCAAGAGATAAATACTGATCGAGTCCCAATAGAGTGTCTCTCGCAGTCGTTTGGAAGTATCGATTCCATCACTGCCAAGCTGACAAGCTCTGGTCCCAAGGGTAGCGGCGCTGAGGCACCCAATATTGCGACCTTGATCCAAATGCTGGGAGACTTGCCACTCAGGGCCGAAATCCAGGACATACCCCGATCGGTTCCGAATAACACAGAAACTGCGGGTAAATCTAGAGAGACTGAGGGAGACTTGTTGTCATCGATCGGCGCTCCGCTTGTCACGCCGCCAAAGTCACCTTCCAAGCCGTATGCGAACAGCCCAAACGGTACTGCGAGACCTTATGCTAACAATCATGAAAGTCTTCAACGATTTTCTCGCTCGGAAGCCTCGTCAGAAACGCCATTGCAACTGACGCCACCTCCAAAATCACCCTGGAGACCCGCGCCGCCACCCTTGGAGATCAACAACCCTGCGGCTTGGCGAACTCCATCACAGTGGAAGGAGCACGACGTGACGCAGACCCGAAAATCTTCTGGAAGCGTCTTGAAGAACATCGGAAAAGAAAATGCGATCAAGACGGAAGCGTTTGCTATTCCCGATGCGATGACGGGTGTTCGATCCGCCGCGGGGGCACCGACTGGAATGATACTGGCAAAAGTCAAGCAGGTTTTTGCGTCGAGGCCTGGTGAAGACCAAGAAGTGGGAACAGAAAGCTCCAAGCAACATTGGATGCTTTCTCTTCTTCATGGTCTAGGTTACATAGCAGATCCAGACCATGACCAAGATTGCCACAACTCGGCACTCCCCGCCTCAGCACTGGTCATGCTGCTCTACGAGACGAAAGGTAAGCACAATTCTTTTATTATTGGCGAGATACTAACCATTGGAAGCTTATGCAACGTACATAAGTACCGTCCACCCTGATTCGCAAGTGTATCACCTGACCAGGGAGAGTTCACCAACCAGCTGGTCGCACAACATCCAGTCGGTGCGAGCACCACCCGCAGCGGCAACGTGTTTCCCCGTGGCACCGCGGCTATTTCAGACTGTGTACTCATTCTCGCTACCGTCTGGCTGCCCGTACCACGTGTTGCCCAATGTGCTGAGTAGTGTGTACAAGAGCTTGAAGCCCGGCGGATCTTTCAAAGTCACAATCATCGATCCGTTGCCCTACGCCGACACCCTTGGCCACAAACTCCGCTCTTGGATGGAAAAGCATCTGTTTCCAAATTTGGAGAGACACCAACGGTGCTTGGAGCCAAGCAGACTCTTCCCCAAACTTCTTGGCGATGCCGGTCTGCGCGGCAAGGGGAGTCGCCGGACCAAGGTCAAGTTCTTTGCCTTGCAAGAGAACGCCCGCGGCTTCGATGACCGCCGCGATCCAGATCGCAGCCTTGAGAAGCTGTATCAAGAGCGGCGCGATAAAGCTGAGCTGCGCAGCCTGGTTGGCCGCATGTTTTGGATGGAAGTTTGGGGTCGCTACGTCACACCAGCAAGCACCTGGTGGTGGGATGACCCTGAATGTGTTGCGGAATGTCTGGAGCTCGGTACTTTTTGGGAGTACCACATCATCGACTCGGCCAAGGTCGACGAGACTGTTGGCTGAGGATGTTTTTTTTTTGCAAATAGGGTGGGTATATGTGGAAGGCTAATGTTCATTTACCAGCGGGAGTGTTTTTTACTTTGTTGAGTTTTCATATGATAAGCTGCCACAGTCAATGTTGTCAATTGTGTCGCGAACAGAGTTTTAAACAAGAAACGATTTTACGTATATGAATAAAACTTTGTCCCAAAACTTGCATGACACGTTCGTGCTGCCGCCTTTTCCAGCAACCAGTGGAGCAGCCACGGCCCGACACAGAGGTTACGGTTTCGCCAGGGCCACATCGCATTACACATAATAAGGCTAAGACGGCCCAACTTGTGGACAGTTCGAATGTTACCGTGAAAGACAACACCCACTCGCATTTGCATGAATGACGACCCCTGTTAGCCCACCAAACCCCCGGTTTACCATCCACCAGAGGCGCCAGGGGCTGACCCACGCACTGACATAAAACGGGGGTAACTAGAAAGTCGATGCCCGTTTTGATACGCCGAGCGGGGCCAAGCGAAGGTTGTCGTGGGGTTGAATGTTGCAGAGTGATTACTGGTAGTGTGAGCAGTGTCGGGGGGGGGGGGGAGCAAATATTGGCAATGGGTTATGTATTTGTAAATTTGCCGCCAACTATATGAACGAAAAGGAAATAGGTATAGCAGTGAAGCGTAAAAAGAGGGCCGTGAAAAAAAAAACAATGTACATGAAGAGAAGCAGCTACCAGCTTCGAAAAATGTTCTGTATATCCACATAATAAAGGCTTGTCCGAGACACAGCACGTCCAGCCCCCCCCCAAATTGAATCAGAGAAAAGGGTCGAGGGAAATGAGAAGTTGGGCAAAAGACAGTGGTCAAAAAATGTAAATGGTCGAAACGAGAAGGGGAAAAAACCGAAAAAAGTCATGGGCCGGTTAATTTCGGGGGCCGTCTGCCGAGTTTGTCCGCGTCGTTGACAGCTCCGTAGCGCTCTCGGTATCAAAGGGCTTCGCGGGGACCCTCGTCCTGGACGAGCTGAGAAAGCTCGTGCCGAACTTGTTCTTCTGGGTGCCCGCAAAGGGGCCGGTCGTATAGTCGGTCCCGCGTGCGCCGCGGCCGCCAGACAGCGGGCCGTCGACGAGCTCCGTGACTTCGGGCCTGTTGCGGTATCGCAGGTCGCGGAGGAGCGCCTTGCACGCGGCCATGGAGGTGACGGCGTAGATGACGGCGTTCCAGAAGCCCTGCAGCGGCAGCACAAACGCGCTCATAAACTCGAGCACGACGCTGATCTCGCCCCGGTGGATGACCGAGTACACGCGGTTGGCGCTCGACGGGATCCAGGTGATGAGGATGGCGGTGAAGAAGAGGATGGAGCACTTGGTGTACGACCACGCCGCGTTGTTGAGCTCGTGGTTGCGGCGGCGGTGCGGGTTGGGCACGCGCGGCACACGCGGCACCGGCTGCGGCCGCGTGCTGAAGCTGCTAATGGGCTGCGGCATCACGGGCTTCCTGGCGGGGATGGCGGCGGCGGCGGCCGTCGCCGTCTCCTCGTCGCCGCGGCCTTGGAGGGGCAGCTCCACGTCCTCGAGGGAGCGCGCCGAGGCGACCGAGTGTGACGTGACGTGGATGGAGTAGGCACGGCTGTCGTCGGGCGCGGGCTTGGGCAGCGCGGCGCTGATGGCCGTGTGGCGGCCAAACGGGGCCGGCGCGCCGTCGGCGGTGCTGATGGCCTCGCTGGTGATGGTGACCTCGGTGGTGCGCACCGAGTAGTGGGCGTCGCCGTTGACGGACAGCGGGTCGGGGTCGGACGAGTGGAAGTCGCGCAGCTGCTTGCGCTTCTCGTAGATGGTGCGCCCGGCGCGGATGTAGATGAAGAAGGTGATGATGATGACGACCCTGCGTGCGGCGGATTAGTATGGCGGCGCGGACAGTGTGGGTAGTAATCGAGACGAGGGCTTTCATACCAGACGGGGCCGTAGAATGAGGCAATGCGCCAAATGTCCCAGTCGGACGAGATCCAGCACCAGAGGAGGGCGTTGCCGTAGACGTGGACGCCGTGCTGGTCCGACACAAAGATGAAGACAAAGGCCGGGATCATGGGCACGCCATAGCAAAGCAACAAGTACGGAATCTCCATCCGTCTCAGGGACACGGCATCGAATTTGTAGTAAAAGGTTAGGTACACGTTGACAGCCATGGCCAGTGTCCAGAAAGCATCAGCCGGCATGAACCTGTGCAACTCGTGTTAGTCGCCTTGGCGCCAAATAGTGTTGATCCCCCGGGCCTACCCCGACAACAAAGTACTTGCATTTGAATCAAAAAAGCTTGGAATTGGCAACCGGCGGAGAGGATGTCGTGCAGGTAGGCACGCGACATGAGGGTGCCGACATTGGTCATCATGTTGCCAAAGGACGCGTAAAAGACGAGCCGATTGATGGGCTTGTGAAAGGCCGTGGAGCTGCAAAATGTGACGATGGTGAAGAGACATCCGAGAAGAGAAAAGACGGAGCAGGTTCTCTCAATGACACTAATGGCCTCGAGTTGCCCATCTGTGAGGGTTGACGGCATGGCTTCGAGTTGTGTGTTTGTGTGAGAAGGAAGGAAACCAGAGCAAACGGCGCGAGGTGAGATGCGAGGGTCTCGCCAACGGGAATATGCAATGGGGGGAAAAGGGGGGAACGATATTCGATCGAGTCAAATCCAATATAGGGAGAAAAGAAGGAACCAGCAAAGGAGCAAGTTCGAAACGTCTGTCCAATGCAGAGTTGTTTTGAAAAGAGGAATCACAGCATGTACATCGGGGGGTGGGTGTTTGGTGGAGTCGGGGAGCCGGGTCTATATGTATTTGGAAGCCATTTCCGTTCAACGATGAAATCTTGTAATCTGCTTTCCTTATTGCCTCTGATCGATTTTCGAGGAAAATGGCAACAGCCGTTTTCTCAATTCCCAAGAGCCGACTCAGAAGAGAGAAAAAAGAAAAAAAGGGTGGTCCGCGGCGGCCAGGGCAAGACAACGAAATATCCCAGGATATGTATGTATGGGTCCAGAACTTGCCGATGCCTCTCTTCCGTCGAGTTTCCACGATCAACGACCCTCTTTCTGCCTCTGTCCAAAAAAATGAAAGGACCCCATGAATGTTGCATATCCCACTTACTAGGGGGGGAGGAGTTGATCGACCCTCGAGTCTCGCTCAACAAACGGGGGGGCAAGGCTGCTCGACAACCGGCTGCGACGTTCGCTACCTACCTAGCCAAGGACATGTGACGGAAAGCGAACTGCCGCCAGCCATCCCCCCCCTGTGCGGTGTCGACTGAGTACCTAGTTAACCTGATGCCCAAACTCGAAAAAAAGGCTGGCAGGATGAGCAGACAGGGGTTCCAGTCCGGTTCATTGGTCTTGTTTCTTCTCGTTTCTGCAGATGCAAACTTTGGCATAAGCCATACGCAACGCGCCCGCCCACCAGCGACGCACGACGTACCTCGATGACTCGCCCGGGGTTACTTATTTAGGGTGTCTTTTCGCCCTCAGCCACCTTCGCGGGCGCCCTGCGTGCCGCGGTTCCGGGTTTCTTGACGTGAGCCTGGTAATGAGAAGAAGAGACTCGGCTGAGACACCGTTATTTCTGGGGAAGATAGGAACCGTCTCAGGCACGCAAAAAAGGTGTCTGGGCCAAGCATTTTTCCAAAACACCCGTCGTGCTGCATCTTTGCTTGGAGCAACTGAATAGTTAGGTAGGTAGGTAGATTGTGCAGACTAAGCTTTCTTCGGCCAAGAGCCAAGAGCAGAAACGAACAATTGCCGATCAGCCCCCCCAGGAAGGAAGCCAACGGTATGGAACATCGGAGCCCCGAGTTAACTAGTACTAGGTAGTCTGTTTTAGACGTTGGTGGCCCTTTTTCCGGGGGTTCGATTCCGCGTCGACGCTAGTTAGCTTTTTCTACCTAGTTACCCATTTATTCCTGAACGGTGAGGGCAGACACAACTTGCAACAGGTTCATCCTCTCTTTCTTCTCATCACTATCTGAAATTGGCCACCTTGCAATGTTTCTCCACGGCGGATCTTCTTCTCCCTCGATCTGCTTCACACAAGCACAAACGGGGTCCGACGGGTAGCCTCTGTGATTTTAATGCCCGAAAAACTCAGACATTGTTCATGCATAAATCAGCCCCCCTAACCTTCTTTGTGAAAAAAGGAAAAAAAAATTCAGGGAACTGATTCTGCTTCTGCGGCCTCGGTAACCGCCCGCCGAACATTCCTTCTCGTTTTACCAACTATTAATACTCCATAGACGCACACACACACACACACACACACACAAGATGGCCCCCTTTCTTCGGTGGCGCCCATGTGGGCTGTTGTCCGCATAACGACTCACACAGCTCGATTATTACACTCAAGCCACACATCCCGAGCCTACGAAATGAGGGAAAAAACAAGCAACGGCTGTGGTTGTGCCCGTAAGCAGGGGCCCTTCTGGCCAGTCAAGGACTCACAGTAGCACTTTCTCGCCGTCTGTGCGTTTCATGGGGTCCCCGGCCAAGGCCCGTCAAGGGATCGACAGGCGCGGCAAAGCGGCTTGCATGTTCCACAGAAGCAATTCTCGGTCCTTTCTCCTTGTCCGTACACCGTCTTACATGGCTTCTCATCTGCATTACATATTTAGATATTCAGCCATGGCCAGATTTTCATCTGTACCTCATTTCAACGTCTCCATAGGATACCGGTCTACCGCCGAGACAGCTGCCTCTAAGCGAAGGGGCAGCGATGACCCTTGTTCAAGGTTACATCGCACTCCGATGGAATCAGAAAAACCGTGCCCTAACTAGTTAATGCATCTCATCTTTTTGCCAGACTAACGTTAGCATCGTTTTGTCACACTAGCATCGTCCGTCCACAACACGCGGAACCTACCGTTGATGCCCCAAATCTGCCGAGAAACAGCTAATCATAGTGGTACAGTAATGGAAGTTGGCAATGTCGGCCATGAACAATCATATCTGATAGTCTGAATTGGTAGTTACCCATCTGAGCCATCCCACAACTTCCCAAATGAAGCTGAACCCGATCTTCCTGTAGTTCTCCTACTCAGTATTAGTTCTTAGACAGCGCCAGCTTGAGCGTCGCGCTACCGATATTCTGGACCTCTTGTACGGATTCATTAATTGTCTGGAAGAGCTCCGCGAAGTGCGCTAGCAACGAGATGCTTGTCATCTGCAAGGGTCAGGTCCAGGTCCAACCCATCCGCGTTCGATACGGCACACGCACAACGTCCGTAGGCACTAGGTTTGCCTGCTAGCCTTTGAACCCGGCTGATGAGATCGTGCATCAAACCCTCTTTCGCGTTGGGCTCCATGTCAATGCCATGACACCACCCACAAAAGTTGCGTCCCATTTCGCCTTGCCGGCCTCTCCTGTACACATCTCTGGTCTGCCGGACTGATCGCACAAGTGCAATGTCACTCTCCTCCATATGACCCCTGCAACTCAAGGATCTTGGTCTGCTGGAAGCTACGGAGTTGATCTTGAGTGAGTCCTGGCAACGCGTTTCGAACAGACTGGACCTGTTTCTTGAGCTTCTTGCCCAGCCTGGGCCAATCAACCCTTGCTTCTGGTACGACATCGTACTTAGCTTCGTCAGAACTCAGAATGATCTTATCAAATTTTAACTCTAGCCGGTAATTGATTCCAAGCCATCCAGATTTCGCTTATCAGCGATGACAACGGCACTTGAAAGCAGCGCCCTCAGGGATAGACCATGGCGTTCGCCCACCACATGCCCAAGATGGATGACTTGTTGCGCGAGGCGTACCTCTTCCTGCACGCCTTTGTCAAATAAATCATTTTGGACAGCTGGAAAGGGCAAAAGGTGCACGTTCCGAGCCCTCTGAAACCGACACAGAACTGAACCAACAGAAGGCTTCAAAAGACCAGAAAAATGGTCGGTAGAAGAGGAACTGAACGACTGTGAAAGACTATAACCTAAAAGTCGGGTCAGCTCGTAGGCATCAAATGCCAATCATCCAGCTTACCAGCCGTTTCTTGTTCGGCAAATTGCCAGAGACTTTGACAGTTGACAAGCATCCATGACGTTTGTCAAGTTAGCGGTGGCGAAATCAGGAGGCATTACCAAGTCCTCTCCATGGGTGGCGTTGTATAAACCGCTTGTTCCGAGAAGAAGCGGTAGCTGTTCTAGGCAATAGCACTTGGGAGATGATTTCTTCCACGCCAATTTCTTTGAAGCGCAGCAATTCCGCTTTCACGACTGGAGGGCAGATCAAATGCAACATCAGCGCCTCTGAACCATATTCATCGAATACATTTGAAGGTGCAGGGTAGTTTCTGCCGGCAAGAACCATACCATTCACCAGCACATTTTTGAATGGTGACTTCTCAAATAGCAAATTTCTGACGACGGTCAGTGTATAGAATCAACCACGAGTTTGATCTAGCCCCTCAGCGATGAAATCTGCAGGGAAATGCCCATCCCTGAAAGCTTATGCGTTCTCAAAGGGATATTGAATAGATGCGTAGGGCATGCAACCCGAATCAAACCTGACGTCTGATATTTAGTAGGGTCTTTCAGCTGATCGTGTACTATAGTCACCAGCAGTCGAGGATCTGTCTTTTACGAATCACACATTTTGTGCTTTGCAGATTCATTTGCATGGGTGGAATAGCGTCCGTCACCTTTGCAAACCACGAGGAGACAGCCCGTCGAATGAGTCGAGTGTCAGAACGCCAGCAAAATTTGTCGGAATGCATGATTTGACTCTCATGTACTAGTCGCCCTGACTTCCCCAGGTCTCGTAGAATGGCCTATTCGGCTTCTTTGACATAGACCAGCGTACTCGGCTACTCCCGAAGTAAAATGGTCCTTTTACGGGACCTGGTGGCAGACGGTCTGGAGAACCTGCTGCTGTTGCTGCTTCATAATCTTCCTGACCGAAAGCTGGCGACTGGGGCACGAGCCCAGTACCCTTGACAGCCTCAACAGAATCGGCAGCGATGACTTGAAACCAATGTAATCTCCGTACGACGGAACATCTCTTCATGGAACAATACCGAAATGTCCTTGATCATGGAGGCAAGAAGATGCCCTCAGTGAGGCATTCCTAAAACGGGTCAAACGAGAGTCAGGTGAGGAACGTGTCAATGCAGTGCGCACCAGTAGTTGTACCTGGGAGTTTTTACTAGCTGTTTGTGGAGGAAGAAAATTGAAGCAAGTGATGATACCCAAAGGTGGCCCATCATTGAAGGAAAAGCGAGGCCTGTTTTCTGTGCAAACGCGTTTCCCTCGTCCCAAAGTGGGGCGTCTCTTCTTCTATTCTGGAAGAATTTACAACCATATCCGAAAAACGAATGACTAATTGAGAGAAACTGGGCCGGGGTTTGCAAATCGGAAGCTTTCCGTATTTGTATTTGTGGTCAGCCAAGAAACTCGTGCCGCTCCTGCCGCTCCATCTGGCAAGCTACACGCAACAGCCCCCCTTCCTTTCTTTCTTGGCCCATCACTACGTCTCCTATACATTTCAACGCCACGGTCTTATTCCTATGTAGCCGAGGATCGCAACTTGGCTCCTGCAATGGACACTTTGCCAGACCTGACCTTGGCCGCGACAGACGCAGCACTAAAGCCGATATCCTCCTAGCAGACCAGCTACCGTGTGGCATTTGAGAGCGACCTTGACACGAACTTGCTTCAAAGCTGCTGTATTGTGGTTTCGAGTCGACGCTTGTATTTCTATTTCATCGCTACCTGGGCCGACGCAAACGAATCGAATCGAAAGCATTTGCTCACATCGGAGCGGCCTCGGCACAGAACTAAACTGGCGACAAATCGGTAGCGCTGCCAAACGGTACAGAGTACACCATCCGAGACGGCCGAAGAGATACAGATTGTTTCACACCCGATCGTCACCATGCACGCATATTTATTTGGAAGCGCACTATATGCAGATGGAGCCCTAGGATATGGTGAGGGCCCGAGATATGGTGGAGGCTCAAGTTTTGGTGTAAGCCCAAGATATGGTGGAGGCTCAAGTTATGGTGGAAGAGTGATGGACAATACTCCTTCTTGTACACATCAAACAAAACACTCTCGACACGGAGCAGAGACTTCTAGACATGGACACAAAGCCGGGAGCGGCCCTACATCGTCGAAATCGTCTCCTTTGCAGTCGGGTGTCTCTTCACCCACTGGGAAAATATCATCGGAAGGACTTCTGCGACAGAGAACGGAGGGCCAACGCCACCATGCGTCGTCGCGCCATGATAAAGCCAAGAACCAAAAACAATCTGCACCCAAGAAAGCACATACGGCGAGGGCAGGGACTCCGAGGCACAGTTTTACAAGTCAAGCGTCGCGAGGTAGCGCCCCCTCGAATGCATCGCAGCGACAGACGAGGACGTCGACGGTGTGCCGCCGCAAAGCATCCAATGGCGGATATGGACTATTCAGCTGCTTCGGTCGCCGTTGAAACCTTGGTGCATAGCGCTGCAATGCATTACATGTGAAGGATGGAAGCAGTTTTGTCGTTTTTGCAGTATTTGATGTCTACCAGAGGTTACGCGGCTCCTAGGAAGTACTTGTGCGTCATTGTACATGGCTGGTTGTTATTACTAGATTACTAGAGTTATAAATATACATACCTACATACCATGTCGATTCATGTCGATTTCATGTCGATTTCATGTCCCAGTCTTGCAGAAGCAGCTGGCAAGCTGGCTACCTAGTCATGCTCATTGGACGGAATATGACGTTGACAAAGAACGCAACCCGAGATCCATGTCATGGTCGAGGAGGATCTGCAGCTTCGACTCAGTACGTATTGGAAGGATCTGCCACCCGTGTCTCGGCCCTACGACTGTCACTAGTTACGAGTCAATGTTTCGTGGACAAGGTGAATGGCGACAGCCACAAGCTGCGAGGATTGCTGCGGGGTTTGCTCTATGACAACGATGAGCAGCAGCCAACATGCAAGACAGTGCGCAGCCCGCATGGAATATGCCAAGATTGTTGAAGTGTGGCTGGCTCGTCGAGTCCACACTCTGCCACGCCTTGCCTCTGGTCCAATGGTGCGCGAACTAGTTGCCAGTGACAGTGGTCTAGTTATGTACGAATTACGGATACAGGGAGAGGGCATCTGCAGCCACGGATGGCTTGTCACTCAAGTCGTACCATGGGCTGCTGGCACACCCGCGAGAGCCCTGCATGGCTTGACGCCACGACTGCCCATCCACACTTGCAACCTGTAGTTACTCACGTTTTCTTTCATGGACCGACTTTTTTTTTTGTTTCCTCTTTTCGGGGCCGGGGCTGGGCGAGGCTGACGCCGCCGCAACACGCGGGTTGTGGGCCGCCGCGCTGGTCCATCTCGCAACGGCTCGTCCCAGAGGAACAAAGAAGGCCAGGCTGGAGCTAAGAATAATACTAGTTAAATAAATAAGCTAACGTTGGACAGCCAATCCACTATTCACCTTGGGGCGTAACAAGACGTGTCAGGCGGGTAAAAAGGCAACATGAGCGAACGAACAGGTGAAAAGGTGGAGGAGGAACGGGGAGGAGGAGCCGATAAATGTTGGTGGGATGGGCTGAGCTTGTCTGTCCCTTTGGGTGGACTTTGGCGGACGCACACATCCTGCCCGCCGGGAAGTCTGGACTGTCTGTCATTTGGCACTGCTTTTGGTGAATTGGTGAGGCCCCCCGCGCGGTCTCGTTCTGGGCATGCAGATGTGGATTGCATTGGCACTGATGGCTGTTGGGCGACGTCGCCCGTTGCCCAGTCCTCTACTAACCTAGGTAGCTAACAGGTAGGTAGTTAGTAGTACCGTGAATTGGTGCATTCTCGCTCAGCTCTACTCTGTAATAGTACATTATAAATGGCCCGTTTCTTGTGCTACTCCAAACGTGTGGTGGTCGTCGCCAATCCCCTCCCTCGTCGGCCCAATCAAGATCCCTCTTCACATCAGCACCAGATGGAGCGACCCCACGCTTGTGCCTGTCTTGCTGTCTTGTCTTCCCGTGGCTCCAAGCAACCGAGCGAGAAAGGCGTCAAAAGTACCCTCATCATGCTGATACTCCAACTTGCTGCATCCGCAAGCCCCCCTCCCACCATCCAGTCGCTGTCGCATGCCACTAACGTTAGCGGTGGTTGCTCCATGGTAGAAGGCACCAGGTACTAAGGTGCTGCCTCAGTGGCCTCAATACAAAAACTGCCCCCTCCCGGCCGCCGCCTTGTCCTTGTACATTTGGCCGGTTATCGTGTTTTTCTTGATCCCCTCTCGCTTGCCTCCCTATTTCTCCGAGAAATGCCTGTCCGGTTACTCCCCAGGCACGTTTTCATGCACACAAGATGACAGTATGCACAAGCACAAGTCAAAGTCCAAATCGCACCGCTGGGGCGCCTGGTCGGAATGGACCTGGGATGGCACCCAACAAGCCAACGTGCGCGTTCGCCAGGATTCCCAAGGTACGTCATTTGCGCCAGGCCACCATCAAGGCAAGGGGGTAATACCATGGTATAAACAAGAGTGGGAGAATGTACTGAATGCTAATTGGTAGGCCATCTCGAGTACGAATGGGATCAGCAGCACCTAAGCCAAGCTGGCCATGCGCAATCCCCTCGCGATGCTGCTGTGGAGGACATGACAGAACGATTAAATCGTCTAGCCACGACAACAACTGAAGCTCACTGTATGAATATAATTCCTTGCGCTGCATTGACAAGGAGCATTTCAAGTCTCCCCTTTCTTGAGCTGCTCTTTTTCTCATTGATTTATGCTCAGCCGCCACCTGCACTGCACACTGGCTTCGTGTCCTCATTGCCCCAGATACTGACGCGGTACAAAGTCGAACCAGAAGAAGAGTATGCCTACGCAAACCCAGCACCGGAACAGTCACCGGCCAAAAAGACCAAATCGAAACATAAAGAAAAAGAGAAAGAGAAAGACAAATCGCATCGCCGACATGCTAGCTCGGACGGCAAATCGTCCAATGCCTCTCAGGATGGCGCGGCATACATGGAAACTCCGAGCTTGCCATGTATGTCTCGCAAATCCTCTGCCATGGCCCTCAAGACACTTTCTAATACTCAAACAGACGTTGAATCTCCATACGGAGACGAGTACCAACCACAGAAATCGACGAGTATGTCGTTGCCCACTACCTCGAGACAAGCTGCTTACGCGCCTCCACCAGCTGTAAACTATTCTCACCATGGGTCAGCACGGGCTACCTATCCCAACGGTACCAAGATAAATTTCGCAAATGTTGACTAGGCTAACGGGACAAATCTCAAGAATGGTCACGGCCGAGCCGTTATGCCGCCTTTGCCGAGGAGAGTGAAGCATCTTCCAGTAAAACGACAGAAGCGACGCAACAATATACAGGGGATGATTTCGAAGGAACCATCTCCAGATATGGTAACTTAATCCCCAGCACACTCGGGGTTGTCGTTAATGTGACCAGGCCAAGTGCAAAGCGGATCCGAAGACTCGCCCACACCACAACCTGAGACAAGCCCAGATGGTGAATACATTCCTGGAATGTCCGAAGGTGACGCCGGTGAACTTGATCCACGTACGTCTCGCCCACGCCCACGCCATTGAAACAATCTGATAACCGAAACCTAGGATATCGGATAGAGCACTCGACACGCTTCCAGCCGGGAGAGGTACGTTTTGCGCGCCTCGCACTCTGTCAGCTACAGAGTCTGACAATCCATGACAGATCTTCAAGGTGCACTGGTCTGAACCGCAAGGCTCGATGAGCGAACAACCAAAGTCTTCGTCCAAGTCATCGTCAAAGAATCAAGATTTGGAAAATAAATTCGGCACAAAATTCTTTGTCGGGTTTAGGCGCTTCATTGTTGTCGCCAACGACCAGGGCCATTGCACATGCGTGTAAGTCACGAGGTGTCGCACGAGCGGGACGAAACGCTAACAGCTCGCCTCTCATCTCTTCCAGACCCATCCTTACCTATGGCGGCAAAGGATGCAAGAAGCACGGGGTCAAGCCCGAGAAACACGGCATCGTCTACGAACGGGGCCAAAAATCCAAGCGGCTCGACGGCGAGCCCTCGCTTGGCTTTGCACCGGTGCGCGTCGAAATGACTGAGAACGGCGAAAAGATTTCGAGGGAGTCTAGAGTCAACTACTCGAAACTCGTCACCGTCGAGCACAATGTCAAAGTCTTCTTCATCGGCCACGTCTATCCTAGTGATTGGCAGATTGTCGGCGACGCCGTCAATCACTGCTGGAACAAGAAGATTCACCAAAAACAACGTCAAAAGTGAGGCAGCGTCGTAACGGGGAGGTTTGATTGTACATTAGGCTTCAAGGCTTTTATGCAAGCGCATGATTGGATACGAGCGCCCCGACAGAGGGCTCTTTATGAGAACCGTGGGATTTTGGCAATCCCTCGCAGATGCTTTTTTTTTCTTTTTCTTTGTGCATTGGGAGCTATATTCATCAGAGAGCCAGGCAGGATGACAGTATGCATGGCCTCATAACTGGCTGATGCGACCAACACCACGGAGCAGTTATGGCTTGTCGTACGTGTGTATTGAACAAACGCCCGCTCACTAAATTACCACCTACATACAAACTAGGTAGACAAGCGTAGGTGCCGCGGAATGGCTGGCATTATTAGCGCGGGCGTCCTCTTTTTCTCTCTCGCGCAGCTAGCATTCCGTAACCGACGGCTTGAGATCAAACTATCTTGACCCGATTCCATGGAAAAAGTCGGCGAACAAGTGCGCCCAGCGTTAATGCGATTTGTAATACGGTGAATAGATTTCCCCAGAATCAGATTGAAAACGCCGGGCCAGTCGCCGCCCCATTCAAAGTCCACCTAGAGTTGCGCCTGCTGAATGGGAAGTTTGGACAACCCAGTGGGAATAATAAGCTAACGACAATGTAGGAAGTAAACTCCGAACAACACAACGATCAAACTCCACTGAAGCCTCGGCACCGGGCTCCCCCGCAAATCGCAGTTTTCTCCGTGTCCGATCCCTGGAGTTGACTCCAGAGTCCACGGACTTGAAGTGGTTATATTAACTACCGCCACTTATCACAATCCGCAACTTCTCGTAGATTTTGCCTCTTCGTACGCCATCTGATATCTTCACACATCAAGGAACTTCTCTCCAGCTTACACGAATCTGCGTCGCACTAGCGCATCTCCAAGCTTCTTAGGTAGTTAGCAACCCGCACCGCACTTCCATAGTGCCTCGGCTAAACCAAACCCCTGTTGAGAAAGAAGCTTCAACCAAATTGCAGTTTCCATCCTCAACATCTTGCCATCGAAAATCATCAAATTCAACATGTCTGAAGCCGTTCTGAGAGACTTCCCCTCGCTCTTCTCCTTGAAGGGCAAGGTTGCCGTCGTCACTGGCGGCTCCCGCGGCCTCGGTCTGCACGCTGCTTCTGCGTACGTTGTTTCCCTCGAAGCGTCACAGACATGCCCCCCCCCTCGGCCAAGCTAACCCTCTTTCACACACAGGTTCCTCCAGGCCGGCGCCGCCAAAGTCTTCATCTCTTCGCGCAAGGCCAAGGCCTGCGAGGAAGCCGTTAAGGCCCTGCAAGCGCAGCCCAACCTCGCGCCCGGCGCCCAGGTCATCTCCGTGCCGGCGGACGCGTCCACGATCGCCGGCATCCGCCACCTGCTCGCCGAGGTCAGCAAGCACACGGAGCACGTCGACATCCTCTTCGCCAACGCGGGCGCGACCTGGGGCGCGCCGTTTGACCAGCACCCCGACGAGGCGTTTGCCAAGGTCATGGACCTCAACGTGCGCGGCGTGTTCAACGCCATCCGCGAGTTCGCGCCGCTCCTGCAGAAGCGCGGCTCCATCGCCGACCCCTCGCGCGTCATCATCACCTCGTCCGTCGCCGGCCTCGGCCTCGGCAGCCTCGGCGACCACGGCACCTACGGCTACTCGGCCTCCAAGGCCGCCGTTCTGCACCTCGGCCGCAACCTCGCGGTCGAGCTCGGTCCCCGCCACATCACCGTCAACTCGCTCTGCCCGGGCTTCTTCCCGAGCAAGATGTCCAACGGGCTGCTGGAGGCCACGGGCGGCGCCGAGCAGATGGCAAAGGCGAACCCGATGCGGCGCCTCGGCGAGGCAGAGGATATCGCCGGCGCCGTCGTCTACCTGGCCAGCCGTGCTGGCTCGCACGTCAATGGCGAGACGCTGGCGGTGGATGGCGGTTCGCTCTGGCAGCGCGGTGAATTGATGTCCGAGCCCAAATTGTAAAAAAAACAGAAAGAATGGTCACAATACGTATCAAATAAATGAAAACGTGAAAGCTGCGCTGTGCTCAAGTCTTTTTTCTTTTTCGCAGAGTCTATATGATGACGCTATGCATTCTCCATCCGAAATAGTATCGCGGGCGTTTCTGCCCCGTCGGATTAGACGATTACGGGATTGGCTTCCGGGCCAGCCAGGCGTTAGCCCTGTATGTGGTCTGCAGCATGCTATCTCTGTCCTGAATATACGGTGCTTCAATGCCCGTCTTTAGCCACTCGACAACAAACCCCAGTCTTGTGAGCAACGCCATGACCTCGTCATTGGCCAGCTCGAAGCTGCCAGGGTCGGCAATGCCCGACGAATTTTTATAATCGTGATCGCCGTCTCCGTCGTCATCGTTCCCGTGGTTTCCAGGCGCGTTGTTCTCGAAATGCCACAGCAAAGGGCCGACATTGACCAGCACACCCCCCGGTCGCAGACAGTGTTTGATGACCTCGAGGTAGCGGATCAGGTTCGGTGCCGTGTCTAGGAAGAAGGAGCAGGCCACGGAGTCGTACTGCTCCTTGTGCTCGTCATCGCCGTACAGGCAGAGGAAGTCGGACGCGCACATGGTCATGACGCCCCGGTCGGGCCCGGCGGCGGCGAGGGCAGTGGCGGGGTGCACGTCTGGTACTTTGTAGCCCCGCAGGTGGCTCTCACGCGTCAGATGGTTGGAAAAGGTGTGTACCCAAGGATAAATGGTAAACTGTTCTGGGCCCTGGCACTCGTTGAGGATGAAGGACGAAGCAATGAGCTGGTGATATGAAATCTCGTTGCCTTCCGCTTCAAAGCCGGCATGGCACAGGTCAAACACCAGCCGGCCGAGACCAGCTCCGGGGACCAGCACCTTGTAGGGCGTATCGCTTGCTGTCTTTGACTTTTCCTCGGCGAGGGCTTTCATGATGGGCCCGTACGAAGCCCCTCTTTCCCTTGCGCCGTCTGCCGTCCAGTCGCGGTAGAATTGGCGAATGGTGCTTCTGGCCTTGTCAATGTCCAAGTGTTTTGCGACGCCGGACCATTCATGCGGCATGCGCGCGTCTGCTACCCCGCCGCCAGGTCCGTCCACCATGCCCTGAAAGGCTTGCAATCCGGATTGGAGAATGGCTCTGGCGAGCTCGGCGTTGGAGTCAATGGCCGCATCGGCCTTGTCGAGAGTTTCCAGAAAGTTGAATGGCGGACCTGCCAACATTTGCCACTGCGCCTGTGGAAGTGCATAAAAAGAACGCCTCCTCAGGTGCGTGACATTAAAATGTGCGACTTTGGCGTATTGTCTGGCCTTGCGATTAGTCCATTGTTCCGTACCAAGCCATGGTTAGAAAAACATACGAAAAAGAGTCCAAAGCCGAAAAAATGACCCTCACTTCTTCGGGGTCGCCCATGTTGTCCTCTACACCTCCCCAGGCACTCTCCTCTGGGAAATGAGGTTGGGCTGATGCATTTTGCCCGGCCGGATTCGCCTCAGTGGTCATGCTCTGAGAGCCTGGGGTTGGGGCTCTGGAGCCGACGTTCGGAGGGAATCTGAAGTGCGGGGCAACGAGGGGTAAACTCGTCTGTAAGGATTGACCCTGATCGACAAGCTGCTTTAGCACCCAGGAGGAATAAATTTTGTAAAATTGCAGCTTGGAAAGAGGAAGACCTGGTCGTTTTCTGGGTGGATTGATATCGTGCCATTTCCGCCGATTCGCGGTGGCTACCGCGATATCGAAATTAACCAATCATGTGACCTGTGCAACAAGGAGCTCCAAGGCCCCGACGCAGCTCCATTCAACACCATCAGCAAAAGTACCGAAGCAGGAGTGAATCATCTACAATGGTTTTCAAGGAGACACAGGTTGTGGAGGTGTCGATCCCATTGCCCGATTCGCTGGACACGCGCATCTATATCCGTGTCACGACCCTCGACAAGGCGGTGATGGTTTCGCTCACGACGGCATCACAAGAAGAGCTAGGAGCCACGACGCCAATGGGCTCCATGGTATATGCACTGCCTGATGTACGTTGGAAAATTGCCCAGAATTTGGGAGAATTTCTAACCGGCAGCAGAGATTCAACCCCCAGCAGCCGCTAGCCACGACAATCTTCACGACACAGGCCACTGTTGAATTCACAACCCGCACCGCGCGGATTCTGGCGAGGAAGGCAAACCGCCCCGTTTACGTGACAAACTCGATAAGCTTCGTAAATGCCGGCATGGGCGGCACTGTGGAAGAGGAGATGGAGGCGCTCAAGAATGTGATTGAAGTCGTCTCCGGTCAGCTGAGCAAGGAGGGCCTGCTCGAGGGCACCAGCGTCAACGAAGCTTCCTAGTGTCGCACTGGACAAGCTTGTTCTCTGGAGATGTCACCTATGAAGTGTTTTGGCGAGCTACCACACCGACATCGCCTCGGTGCAAAGTCGACAAAGGATCAAAGGAGAAATCACAAGACTTCCACTTTCAAGCGCCTACTGGGGGGTTTCGACTGGCGCTCGTCTTTGTTTAGTACAGCAGTCTATCGGAATCCACCGTCATCCAGGAGACTGCCTATGGCAAGCGAATCACAGACACGGCGAAAAGGGGGCAGCAGGCTCAGCAATGTGGAGAGATGAGGCAGCCTAGACTTTTCGTCTTTGCCATGTGTCAATGTTGCCGCGCGCATCTGCGCATCACATTTATGATCTAGCTGGGTTGGGCGAGCAACGAATTAGGCAACTCCGAGGAGAGATATCAGCGGCCGCTCGACACGAAAAAGCTGCAATCAGCATACTGTAGAATCTATGCGGCGGGGTTATGGCGGGCATGTGTTAAATTTGTGTGCTTGGAGCCTAAAAAAAAAGGAAATCGAGCATTGGCATCTTGTTTGCTTGTGTTTGTGATGGCAGAGCGAATAATCGCCACACAAATCCACGATGGCCTGAATCAAGTTATTAAGAGTCATGCTGCTACACTTTGTGCCTGGAATTGGTGGGTTATCGTTATCGCATCCCGCTGATAAACCCACCACCTCGTCACCGACGTCGACCCATTGTGGTAATACCAGGAAAAAGCCCAAAGAAAATATTTCGGCGCCTGTGTTTCACTCTAACCAAGGAAAAAAAAAATCAAGTACCTCTTCGTAGCATTACCTTGGCGTCGGTACTTTGACTGCCCCCGCTATAACTTTTTGTCTGCCGCCGCCAATTTTTCTTGGTGGGGGCTTTGTTGAGAGGGGCCAGAATCCACGATTTCATGGGTTTTGGCCTCGACGACCCTGGATCAGGATATTGTTACTCTCCCCTCCATCGACTGATCGCACCAAAGACCCCTCCTTCGCCGGCTTTCCAGCCTATTCCTACCATCTACTCGGCACCACTGCGATATCCTGAATTGGTCACCCTGGCAAACGACTGTAAGCACTGCGACACGGGACAGCCGAAGCACAAACGCTGCCCTGCCCGCCTTCAATTTCCTTGCTTGTCCCCCGCCATCACGGGCTCGCTGCAGCTGCACATTTCTACGGCCCGCCCCCGTGTCTCCCGCGCCGTTGCCTCCGTCTCCATCTCTTGATCCTCCGGCATCGAAATCTCCCACCACCCCTCTCCATCATTCGCTACCCCAACACGCCATCCCATGCTCGAGAACTTTGCCCGCTAACCGCCCGCCCAGCTAGGTTCTCGCCCGCAACAAGATCGATGATCTAGCCCCCGACATACGATACTTCATTTGCTGTGACTTTGCGTCGCTCACCAGATACCATGTCTTGGCAACCTGCCCCCGAGTCCTTGAGGCAGCTTGCCTCGTGCCTCAAGGACTCTCTCAGCGGCTTCGATAAGAATGCGCAGAAACAGGCCGAGCTTGTAAGCTGAAGCAGCTTGCCCTGCCTCCCGACCAACTGAACTAACCCCTACTTCCCTCCATAGATGCTCAAGCAAGCGAAAAGCTCGCCTGATATCAATAACTATCTCGCCTATATTCTCTCCAGCCCCGAGCCCCCCGAGGGAGTCGCCTTTTCCCAGCCCGAATATCATCTTGTGCGCTCCGCCGCTGGCATCATGCTCAAGAATAACCTCAAGTCGGATTGGAAATCTATTCCCGAGTCAAGTCTGCAGCTCATCAAGCTCGCGATACCCATTGCTCTGCAAGACAAAAACCCCCAAATCCGCAACTTTGCCGGCAACGTCACGACCGAAATCGTCCAGAGGGGTGGCTTGCTGGGCTGGCCGGAACTGCTTCCCCAGTTGATTGAGACTCTTGGAAATGTCTCTGGACAGGTTACCAACGAGGCCCAGGAAGGCGCCATGTCCGCCATGTCCAAGATTTGTGAAGACAACACCCGCATGCTCACCCGGGAAGTCAATGGCCAGCGACCACTCAACTATATCCTCCCGCAGCTCATTGCTGCCACCAAGAGCCCGCTCCCCAAGGTCCGGATCGGCGCTCTGACAGCTATCAATGTTTTTACCCCGCGCGACTCGCAAGCGATGAACAACTCCGTCGATGACCTCCTCCAGCATCTATTTACTCTCGCCAACGACGAAAACCCCGATGTCCGCAGACAAGTTTGCCGTTCTTTTGTGTCGCTGGTGGACCGCCGCCCTGAGAAGCTCATCCCTCACATGGCTGGCTTGGTTGACTACACGATCCGCCAGCAAAGGAGCGATGATGAAGACCTCTCCTGCGAAGCGGCTGAGTTTTGGCTCACGGTCGGTGAGCACGAAGATTTGTGGCAACATCTCCGACCCTTCATCGAACAAATTATCCCTCTGCTTCTCGAGTACATGGTATACAGCGGAGAGGATATTGCACTTCTCGGCGGTCAGTCCGATGACGAGAACGAGGAGGATCGAGCAGAAGACATCAAGCCAGCCTTTGCAAAGAAGGCTCTGACTCGCACTCTCAACGGCGACGGCACCATGACACCTAATTCTGCTAAAGATGGATACAATACCCTGCCAGAAATGGAAGACGATCTGGAAGACGGAGAGGTTGATGACGGCGACGAGGACGACGGCGATGATAACCCTGACCAGCGATGGACGGTCCGAAAGTGCTCCGCAGCTGCGCTTGATGTGTTTGCGCGCAACTTTGGAGGACCCGTTTTCGAATTTATTCTGCCTTACCTAGAACGAAACCTCAAGCACGAGGACTGGCCTCAGCGTGAAGCTGCTGTATTGGCGCTGGGCGCCGTTGCCGAAGGATGCGAGAGCGCTATTCTGCCCCATTTGCCGATGCTGGTGCCGTACCTTATTTCTCTTCTGACCGATCCCGAACCGGTCATCCGCACCATCACCTGCTGGACCCTCGGCCGTTACTCTGGCTGGGCGGCGGCGCTGCCAGACGCGGAGCGAGAGCAGTTCTTCCTGCCACTGATGGATGGCATTTTACAAAAGATGCTCGATCGGAACAAGAAGGTGCAAGAGGCCGGTGCTTCGGCGTTTGCCAACGTGGAGGAGCGCGCTGGTAAGGCCTTGATCCCTTTCACGGAGCCCATCGTCAAGCAATTTGTCATTTGCTTCCAAAAATACAAGGACCGCAACATGTACATTTTGTATGACTGTGTGCAGACCCTTGCAGAGCAAGTCGGCCCGACGCTTGCGACCCCTCAAATTGCCAAGCAGCTGTTGGATGCGCTTCTGGGACGGTACAGTATACTCAACGACGAGTCTCGCGAAATATTCCCGCTGCTCGAGTGTCTGTCTTACGTCGCTCTTGCCATGGATACGGCATTTGCTCCGTACGCTAGTCCCATCTTCCAGCGTTGCATCAACATCATACACAACAACCTGGAACAATCTTTGGCCTCGGTGACCAACACTTCGATTGACGCTCCAGACAAGGACTTCTTAGTCACGAGTTTGGATCTTCTGAGCGCCATTATCCAAGCTTTGAGTCCCGAGCAAGCTACGCAGTTGGTCAACAACTCACCGCAGCCCTTGTTTGAGCTGCTGAGCTTCTGTATGGAGGATCCTACAGATGAGGTGCGCCAGTCGGCTTACGCGCTGCTTGGCGATTGCTCCAAGTTTCTCTTCCCACTTTTGGAACCGCACCTGCCCAAGCTCTTGCCGTTCCTCGTCAAGCAGCTGGACATGGACGAGATCTTGGACGAAGAAATCGAAAGCGGATTTGGAGTCGTCAACAACGCCTGCTGGTCTGCAGGCGAAATAGCTGTGCGTTATGGCGATGGCATGAAGCCCTTTGTGCAAGATTTATTGACCAGGTTTGTGGAAATGATGGAGAACCCACGCGTGCCCCGTGGTTTGGCAGAGAATGCTGCGACTGCCCTCGGTCGACTTGGCCAGAACAATGCCCACATCATGGCCCGTGGTCTAGGAAGCTACGCCGGTCTGTACCTTCAAGTGATGGAGGATGTCGTCACGATGGACGAGAAGGCCTCGGCGATGAAGGGGTTCACCGCCATTGTGCGAGAGAATCCACAGGCCATGGAGCCAGTCCTACTCGAGTACTTTGGCACTATTGCCAACTACAACATGGATTTGCAAAACCCCCTGAAGCAGCAACTCCACGCTGCTTTCCAAGACGTAAGATATATCGGCTCGAATAATGTACACATTGTAAAGCTAACCTTTGATCTAGATTCTGAGCATCTACAAGGCAAACATTCCCCAGTTTGATAGGTTCATCGCACAGCTGAACGCCCCTTCTCAAGAAAATCTGAGGGCGAGATATACGCTCTAATCGGGACCAGTACTAAGTAATGGTCTGTCGATGCGAACAAGGATAGCATGAAGCGTCTGTTGAACAGGATACACTCGGGGGAAAAGAATATGGTAAGAGGGGAAACAATGGAGCTCTAATATGGGTTGATGAGGATGTGAAATCAAAGGTAGACGCTTTCACTGAGAAACATGAATGAATGGGCATGGTAACCAATGAGGAAAAGCAACTAGCATGAATGGGAAGTTACGACAGGGAAAATAACAGGGAAGGATCGATTTTATAGCATGGCTTTGACACGCCATTGACCAAGTAGATAGTTGATTTTGCGTATAAATTATACTCTTTGCGCGTTTTGCTCAAAACCGTACGTTTGTGTAGATGAAGGAAGCTCGCCTCGTGGCTTTGGCGGAAAGAGGAATTCACTTGCTTGCTCGCAACTTGTCAGGTCACGATTCGCGAAGAGAAATCTTCAGTGGCCCGGCCAGGAAATCTCAACAAGTCTTTGGTTCTTGAATGCTTGCCTCCAAACCGACCCAGTCGTAGAACCCCAGTTCGTTTTACTGAGCGTGCCAACGAGATTCGAGGTGCGTACTTCCATCTCCCCTCTATCCCTACTTACAGATCCCTCATACGGCTGATCTCGTGCTCGCTTTCACAGGCACCGTCATGGAGCTTCCTCAGTCGCTCAAGAGGGGCCTGATGGCTTCATTTCGATTCCACACCCGCTCCCTCGTGGCAGCTCATTCCCCAAACCGACCACACCACAGCGTACGTACGCCCTCGGCCTTTTTTCTTTTTCCTTTGTTACTCTCCCGCCCTGTTTTTGGTGTTATCCCCCCCCTGCCACTTTCAGTATGGTGTATACATACTTTTTGACAAAAAGGCGTCGGGAGAAAGTTGCAATACCGCACTCCACAACCCCCCCCCCTTCTCGGCTCTCGCGCCAGCCACTAAAGGTAACAAAAGGCCTTTTTTTTTTTGTTCTCCTTCGGCCAACCTAACTCCTGACTCGAGACCAACGGTCTTTTCCTCGCCAGGCACAAGAAACGGACAAAGAACGGGAAACCTGCCATTCTTTTCTCGCCGTGTATACCAATTTAGGAACACCACAAATCAACAAAAGGTTCTGCTGATAACCCCCCCCCCCCCTTTGTTTGGTGATTAGAGTTTCCTTGGCTAGTCATCTTCGAAAAACTCCCTCTTCTCTTGGGCCTCGATTCGGATGAGCAGAAAATGCGCCCCTTTACAGCCAGCCACAACGGAGGATACACAGACATTGTACACAAATTATCGGTACTCTGTAATTGGGTGTTCTTTCGCAGCTGCCATCAATCAGGTTAGAGCAATTTGTGCTCCTGGTCGCGGGGGGGAAAGTGTCGATCCCCCTCGATAAACTCCCAACGACGCGTAATTGGCCCCCCCCCCCCTCCTCCCCCTGAGCGTCTATACGAATATGTTCTTGTGCTGTGTATCCTAGCGCATTGTCAAAGCCGACAATAGCATCACCTGGAGTCCGGCCGAGTGGTGTTTCCCAAGCTCTCTCTACCGGGGGCCACGGCAGGATGACAAGTGCCCATCCCATCGGACGTGCACGATGAAACAATCGACGCCGTAGCACTGCATCCTCTTGTTTCTTGTCCTTTGCTTTTCCTTTTGGGGCAGTAGAGGCCGGGCGTGTCGCCCCGGGCGTGCCCATCGTCAACAGTACACCGCTTCTTTGCTTGTGTGCCCGGTACCTCTTTGCTGTGTACGTGATTCACGAAACAGAGTTGCATCTCCGGACCCCGGGGGACGCAAATGCCGTGCACACTCCTTCTCCCATCGGCCCCCCCCCACCCATGCAGGCGGCCGGGAACTACGACATGCTACCATCACACGACCGGCCGGAACGCGGCTGTATTTAGGCAAGTGCGGCGGCGGCGTCTCGGTTGGTAATGAGTGTCTGGAGACTGGTCTTCTGGAAAGGACCTTTTGCGTTTGTGGAAATTGTTCAGTACTCGTGTGCAAGGTGATACAACTTGTTGCAGAAACTTGCCTGTTTTGTGATACGTGTGCAGCACGCGGTCATGTCTTGGACGCACATGGCATTTTTCTCCCATGTTCATGCCAGCCACTTGTTTTTTTTTTCCCCGACAGAGAAGAAGAGGGTATAGTTGTGGAAATGCTACGTGCCATCAAGTCTCTCTCATTCATTTACACCCCGTCAGAGGAGGTTTATTCTTGGCTAGAAACGTGCCCCCTTGTCTCCATGTAGCCGACTACCCGGGACGAGCGTCATAATCTGGGGCGAACCTTGTTCGGACAGACTTGGCCCGAATCGCCGGCAAGACGTTCTTCTCTGCGATCGTGGCTCGTCTCTCCACATTAGGAAAGAAGAAAAGGAACAGTTGGGGTAGCCTTGTCTACCAAGTCTCTGATCGCTAATACGTGCAAAAATAGAAACCAAGCGAGCTTTCACATCGGGCCGGTTGGAAAAAGCGCCACTCAGCTGGCAGACGCATAAGGCTGGGGACAGATGACCTATACCAGTAATTCACGGCTCCGAGGCCAAGAAGTGCAAAAAGGCTCAAACTAGTTGCTTAGGCCGGTTCAGCCTCAAAAGTTGGCACGCACACCGCAGGTACAGTCATTCTGCCCTCGTCCAACTTTTGGCGTCATGGACGTCTGACGTGTTGGCGTCTGGTCCTTTGCTCGTGTATGTAGGGCACGTCCCTTCACGGCGGATAATACATGACCTGAGGTTTTTTTCTCCTCACAGAGTTATCCAGAATCATCCAATCCGCAGTCTTGACTAGTGTAAGGCTAACGTGGAAGAACTTCTTCGCTCGCAGAGACGACCATCAAAAACCCAGTCTCATACAGCGACCCTCTTCCTGAATGCATGCCACTTAGTCAGTTGATGTATCAAGTAAAACCCTCTTCTCTCTCTCGGGCTGTCTTCGCCGTCTGGTCGCGAGGGCGCGTTGGACGCCACAAAAGCCCATTCTCCGCATCATGGCATGGAGACTGGGGGGCCTGGGCTGCTAAATATAGCTCAGCCCTGGCCCCCTCGCCTCTGACTGGCTCGCTTCACTGAGTGGGGCTTGTCGAATGCCGACACACCACCTGCCAGCAAAAAGCCCAGTGAAAAAAAAAGAAGCTCGATTCAGCAAATCACCTGGTCCATGGGGGCATATAACCACAATGCTAACGTTAGGGCATATTCTTATGGGCCAAATGCCCTGCTGCCCGTTCGTTCAACGTTGATGCAGAGTCGAAAATAGCGCCCCTCTCCGCTGCTATTCTTAGCCATCTCGGACGGCTTACTTTGACGTGGCCATTATCTTGTCTGCTCGCATATACATTCTTTCCTTATTATCAATGATTGCCTTTTCGTCCGCCGCTGCAGATAGTCTGTAACTAACAGAGTGTCACAGCATTGTGCGACGTGTCGACCTGCAAACCACTCTTCAGCCTCCACGGCAGATGCTGACTTGACGGAACGCGGCGATTCAATCACCCGATTCGCAAACAAACTACTTTTCCTCACCCCAGTGCATGAGCCAGAAACCTTTCTGTGCCATAAAATCGTTCTGGAGCGACACACCGCGGTAGCGACCAGTGTTGCCATTGTTCTGCCACGCCGTGGCGTTCAATAGTCTTATCCAAGCTGTGCCACGAGATGCCAGCAAGCAACATGAGACCGAATGCAAAGGCTGAAAAGTGGAATGGTTGGTTTGCCATCTCGCGACCTTTGACCTTTTCTACTAGCCCAGGGATGACTCTTGACGGCTTCTTCGCGCAAGCACCCTCCGAGCGCTCCACTGTAAGGCCAGCAGGCGATGCGAAACATTGTCACCATCGTTACCTACCTACCTAGCTAGTTAGGTAGGGTAGGCCATCAAAAGGTCGGCCCAGCCGGCGGGCGGCGCGCCCGCCGGGTTTCGATTCCATTGGTTGCCACCATCACGCCACACCACCTCGCACAGGATCCCTGTCTTGCCGGATTACTGGGTCGCTGTCAACATCTCCAATGACTTTCTTATCCACTTGCCATGTGCCAGACAGGTTGGCCCATGACGGAGATCATTTTTTAAGACAATTCGACATTGAAGACGTGCTAGATGTGCTTCCTTCTCTACCAACACCGACGTGCATCGCAGGTAGCCACAAAGACGGGACCCTTGCCAGCTACGTCTGCTAGTCTCGTCGTATCTTTTTTGAGGCAGCTGCATCAGGCCTTCTTCATTTCCGGGTGACCAACCTTCTTCAGCACGTATTTGTCCGGTCAAACCGTGGCGGGGATAGCACCAGAGAGCCAGATAGGCCGATGCGCGATGTGAGTCTAGTTGATCTTCGCTGCGAGAGGGCGGGCACTGTCCGTGGACGACAAGTCTCTCCTCGCTCATTGTGAAAGAGAATGTCGGAGACGCCGCCTCAGACTTGCGACACACGCTGCAACAGCACTATTCTTGAGCCCATAGGTCAACTGCCATCTATGAAAGACGCGTAGATTGGCCCGTTGTTTCACTGCACCTCTCTAATTTTTCCAGTACTGTCATCTGCGTCAGGCCCTGCAGGCGTGCGGGCGTGCAGGCGTGGTGTTTCGTTTGGGTGCGACCACGGAAAACGGGGAACTCGGCATGAAACGTTTCATTTTCGCCTCCAAATCCAAATAGCAACCACACACAGACCGAACGACAGAGTGCCATTCGCCGTGTGCATGGGGCAGGCACAGCCCTTTTGCGTTGCCACCCCGGAGCTAGAAAACTGGAGAGATTTCGGCTGCCGGAGTGAAATCGACGTCACTGCACCTCTCTTTCCCTGAGGCGGTAAAAGTGACTTACTTGGTTGTCCGGCCTCCATTTTGGCGGTAAAACGTCTCACATTATGCGGACTTGGTAACGGCAGCCTTCTCTTCCACCAGGATTCTCCAGAGCGTCTTGATTCCCAGCACTCTGGTTTTAGCCTGATCCGCAGCTTTCCCGTTTGGGCAGCTCGCTCAAGCAAGACGACTGCGGAGCCCAAATAGCGCCGGG